TTTTAGATCACACATACAACCTTGGTATGTTGCACCATCCACTGTTCTACAATTAATAACTAGCACTAAGTTGAACCTTGTTTGAAACTGTAACTCTAGAATATAAAGTAGTACGATGAAACATCCATCAGCCTAGACATCTATACTACACAAATTTACACATTTCTGCTTCCTCACGCTACCTCCTGCAGGCCTTATTTATTTGAATGAATCACCTTCATCGGCAACCTGAAAATCGACTGGTGAGTGGTGAACATCCCAAGATCACTATGTGCAGTGGTCGCATTTTCGAAGCTGTGGTACTCACATCTGTGTACAGTTCCCATTCGCTTGTTTATTTTTATATGGTTGTACATATTTGACATCAAATATAGCTTACTTCCTATTATACATGGCTGCAATTGCTATCAACGTGGCATCATCCTGTACTTTCAAGTACAGGGTTTCTGGTACATTCATTCCGCTATACGTTGCATCATACGACGATGCACACAACATTAGATATTTAGTAGATACCGCTATGTATGTTTAAAAGAGAAAAGCATTCGTATGCCTACAACAAAATGTGCCATGGTATATACTCAAATAAGCTGTTTATACTGTCTGAAGCTACTAAGAGCCGCGGTGGTTACTACTGATATATCTGATGGAAGATAGTGAATCCCACAATAGAGACTCTGCATGTCGGAATGTAGCCTTGGACATCCGAGATACGTACGCGTTGACAGATCTTACTGGTGACAATTTGAAAATGGTAAAGATGTATCCTTTTCAACCCTAATAGCGTATGGTTACATTAGATAAGCTAAAAGGGATATCTATCAAGAAGCTCTTATCCGCTTCCCACAGTCTGATTGTAGATCAATCTCATCTCATCTCAATCACCTTTCTCTACAATCTGAGCAATAGATACAGTTTGATTGAGGATGAATCCTTTTCTTTTCTCTCTTTCTTTCTTCTTCCAACTTTTATATATTTTCTTCGTGGTATGCTTATCTACTTATTTTTGAAGAACTTACATAGGACATACCAACTAATATTTAGTAATATAGTTGCGTGCAATAACCACTGGTAGTTCGTACATTATCGACAATGATAACCTGTGATGCTACCTATAGTGAGTACTTTTAGCTGTTTAGATCCTACTTTGGTATTTTGACGCGTTGCATAGTTATACTGTAGTTGCATGATTCCAGAGTAATCAAACTCGGAATAACAACCGTGAGGCTAGTCTACTTGTATCAGGCTCTTTATATCAAGATGATGCTTTCATACTGATCGAGCTGGTGCATCATCTGTCTGCAGCAACTCTTTTTGGCCAACTTGGCATCTTTATCTCTCGTTTCTGGTTGGTGTATACCACTGTTTTATATGCATTTGTCGCTAGTAAGTCTCAACATGATCCTTACTGTGAAGTATATAATACTAACAGGAGTTTTTATAGATGTTGGTCCTGCGAGAGGTAGCAGGAACCCTCTGGTGTGGTGGAAACCACAACAGACTTTGGGGATAGGGTTAGGATAGCCTTTTCAAGCATGGGGAAAGGGGTTCCTGGCTCCCTTTACCACTAACAGCACAGACTATCTGAGTATGCCCTGAGCTGTCAAATCTTATCCTTCGAAATCCTTTGTACGACACCGAATGTCGATCATTAGTTGTCAATGTGACCATATAAAGTTTTTCAAATAAACTTTGATGTTTTGATCCTTTAATATTTTTATAAGCTTTCGTTAGTTTATGTTGTTTATCTGTATCTATTGCCTATGAAGCAGTAGTTTTCTCATATTTTGTTTGTAGGCGATACAAATTTGGATGTTACTAAATGTTTCTTATGTTGCGTATATAGCTATCCTTTTTATAATTATCAAATTGATCAACTCGTTGTTACAATTTGCCAATTCGTAGACGACATCATTTTTTGGCTTTAGTTTTCATTCAATCTGCTTTTATCTATTATTTCAAGCAAAAACTTGACTAAATTCTTGAAACTACCAAGATTTATGTCTAATTCACAGCTCTAACACAAAGCTCAATTCAAAGCTTGAATCAAAGTAGAATACAAGTAGAAGAAAGAGACAGACTATATGAGAAAGAAGTGAAAAAAAGGATGCAGCTTTATAGCTTTCAGGATTCGCAAAGTGAGTCATTCAGGACCGTTTTAAATGGTGGGAACTGTAAATGCTTGATTGTATTGTACGGGCATTTCTTACAGCTGCGTTAAATATCGAAGGAGTTATACCGCATATAGGCTGTTGCGTGTACGACCCTGTCATACACAGACAAAGGATTTGCTTTGCATATTTGATTATGGAAAAACTTGATACGGAAAGCACAGTTTGCAGTGAAGCGAATAACACTACGTGAAGAAGATGCATCGATACTGAACGCCATGTTTAAAAGATTGTCTAATATTTAATCAGCACATCAAATTTTATATATGGATACAAAGCTCTTTTAGCCCTGCTCTGCTTTTCCCAAATTTCTAGGTCTCAGAGCATGGCTACACTTGCAGTTTCTTTTACCAAGATTTTATCACGTAGTGAAAGGTAAATAAATTACTACATCATGATTGGGCGCTTATACAGCCAAATTAATTAGTTATATCTATGGTGTTGTAAATCATCTTTTCACAACGTGTTGAATTTCTTCAAAAATAAGCCTATCAAAAGCGTCATAGTTGGGTCAGATAACAACTGTAGATCACCACTTCCAAAAGTAACTGAAGAGTTGATGAACTGCCTCATCGAAAAGTTTACCAGCTTACAACTATATTGAGTTCCTATCAGAGGCCAAAAGCCAAATTTGACAGTTTTCAAGCATAAATTTCTTCTGATTTAGGCCTTTCTGAGCCATCGGGATGACGCCAAACAATTGTACTCGAGTAGCAGAAACTCCTTAACATCTTTGCTCAACTTTCTTGGGATCGTCAAAGATCGCCTCTAAACCTTGAGAGACGCCTCATGATTTTTAACGAACATCAAACGATTGCGTTTTTGACACCAAAATTGAAGATTTTTATTATGGTATACGAACCTTTCGACACTTCGGGTGGTTTCCTGACCTACGCTTCGCTTCGGTAAAAATCAACCTACGTTGAGATGGCTCGCGCTGCCGTGGACCTTTGGCTAATATCGCAAATTAATGTAGCTAAAATGTTAGAAGAACCCTGATTGTTGGTTAATATAAAATCACTAATCATATGAGCGTTTATGCTTCGGTGAGAACCAACCTGCGCAGCGGCAGCTCGTGCTACTGATTGTTCTTGCGTATCTTATCAAAATACTGCTACTTTCATTTTGACCCTCCACTTACACATAAAAACTCTATATTATCTGTGGATCTGATTCTTCTATGATGCTCTACATCCATATACACGTAGCTACTTCATATACGGGCAAGTGTCATACAGATATTATTCCTTTTTAGTCAAGAGTGTGCCTAATACAGCAAAATCTGAGTGCACTTGAGTTGCGTTTTCTTGCGCTCAAGGCCCTTTTAGATCGTCAGAATAGCACCAAACAACTGCTCTCGTCTGGCAGTTACTTTCTGACACCTTTGCTCAACTTTTTGGGGACTAAAAAACATGACCAAAAATCGACCAAAAAGCATGAGGTACCCCTCATGGTTTTCATCGAAAATCAAACAATCGCGTTTTTGAACTTAATAATGAAGACTTTTATTATGGTGTATATTAAATCAAAATGTTTCTATCGATTCAAAGCAACCTTTGAAATTATCTTTGTGGAACTTTGACATGTAAAAATTTGACATTTTGGCCAGAAACCTCTTTTCGTATTTTCGTAAATTATTCAATAAGTTTATTCAAAACATCTATCTTGCTTGGTACCATTGGATGCGCCTTGAAAAACACTCCAAGAAAGCCTAAAGAGGCATAGGATGTTCATCATATTTTACTTAATCGAGTTTGCTAAAATAGTTCAATCGAGTCGAAAATTATTAGGATTTGGCCAATCTGAAGCAGGCTATGATTCTGGATTTGAATTAACTTTGGCTGGTGGGGCCGGCTGACAAACTCATTATGAAGACAATGACCGCTTCCTTTTTGAATGCCCATCCAAGGCAGCGGTTTGGCAGGGTATTATCTCTGAGTTCTTCTGGCCCACGATAACCATGGATGATACCCGCCATTCTCTCCTTACTCTAGAGTTTTACAATACTGAATATAGTCAACGGCCTCGTGCTTCCTCCCATCATATAGTCATCTATCATTATGATGTCTAACATTTGGAAGGCTCACTGTCGACTTATCTTCGATCAAACTTCCTTCGCTCCCACCACTGTGCTGAATAGTATTCGACTCGACATTCAAAACATGATTGACAAGGATCTCATTCACGCCAGTCTATAATTTGTCCTTCTTTTAAACCGTTCTCATACACCTGTCTAAACTTATACAGTATTATCACAGGAAATTGCGTCCACGGCTTGATTATAGTCCTGCTACTATAGTTTACGTGGAGCAAGTAATAAAAAACCTTTAAGCATCATATATGCAATTAATGTTTTCAATGCTAATGAGAAAATGTCTACAGCTTAACGTACTGAGATTTAGCCAAGCTACTTTTTCTCTCCTTTGTTGTGCATTTGTATATAAATCCGTAAACTTTATCGGCGCAAACTGCTCATCCAAATGCGATTGTCAGTAATTAGTGCTTTACAATCATCTCTGAGGATTTCTTTGTTAGCTGTAATGCCAAATGTAGCACGTATCGGCTCTAGTCAAAAGAATTGACTCAACCAACAATGTTCATGCCATGTCTACTCGCTCTAAATGGCATGGATGCGAGTCGCCATGCATGATTCAAGTAGCGCGAGAATACCATCGTCATGCAAAATGCCTATGTGCACCAAAACGCACCATTTATTTCGCCGAGTGAGGTCGTATGGTAGCACGGATTGATAAGATGATCAACTTTTTTTTCTTCGTTTCTCTTTCTTCTCTTTACTCTTTCATTTATATACACATTTCCAACACATAAATGTTCAAGAGTTCACTATCGACACCAATACCGATTCTACTACTATTATGGTGTACATGTCTCATCTCAGTGCTTGCTTCGTCTGAATCCATCACCAGCGTCACTCATGAAAAAGGAGTCTGTGTCATGCGTGGACAATGTGGAGACAGTCTGTTCAGTAAACTTCCCTGTGTTACGAATACACCAGCAGTGGAGCCCGATACAGCAGAATTCAGACAACTTTTAGTAGATACTTGTGGTGCTGATTACATGACGGGTCCCGCTTGCTGCGATAATGATCAGCTTAACAGCTTGGTGGACCAAGTGAAACGAGCAGAAACCATCATTGCTTCGTGTCCTGCTTGTTGGAAGAACTTTTTGCAGTTTTGGTGTTCATTTACTTGCTCCCCTGATCAATCCACCTTTGTCAATGTTACAGCAACAGAACAGAATTCAGACAACACCACTTCAGTGACAGGAACAGACTTTTGGGTGGGTGATAATTTCGGCCACCAGTTTTTTGATAGCTGTAAAGATATTCAATTTGGTGCTGCTAACGGTTATGCCATGGATTTCATCGGAGGAGGTGCTAAAGAATGGCATGGTATGTTGTCTTATATGGGTAGAAAGCGTCCTGGATTAGGAAGTCCCTTTCAGATCGATTTCCCTGCATTGAATCAGACACCCAGTGATGGCATGGATCGCTATAATGAAGACGGTAGACCATGCAACGACACAGACGCTGCATATCGCTGTGCTTGCGTTGATTGTCAAGCAGTGTGTCCTATTTTGCCACCTGCACCTGGGGAACAACCTGAATGCCATGTTGGATTGTTGCGTTGCTGGAGTTTTGCTATGTTGATCACCTACGCAACCATTTTAGCTATGGGAGCTACGCTGTTAATTGCCAGAAACAAGCGGGTAGGTCAGTGGATGCAGCAATTTTTGGGTGTCAACTTGGACCGTGCAGAATCAAGAGGCCTGTATGAGCGTCTGGCTCTCTCAGACGATCAAGATGATATCCTGGATGATGATGATGAGAACTTGCTAGATCCGGACTATACACCCCGCAGATATTGGCTTAATTCTCGGTTGCAAAACTGGTTCTACTATCAAGGTCTCTTTTGTGCTCGCTATCCGTGGGTTGTCATTATGACGTCGCTTGCATTTGTAGCTGTTTGCTCTTTAGGCTGGTCTCGTTTCTCACTGGAGAGAAATCCGGTCAATTTGTGGGTGTCACCCTCATCCACTGCATTGGCTCAAAAGCACCATTTCGACGACAACTTCACACCTTTCTATCGCACATCTCAGCTCTTTTTCGTCAATCAAGTTGATGAGCCTATTGCTTCAGCCGAGAGATTAGAGAACCTGTTTAAATTAGAGGATGAGATCAGATCTTTCAAATCCAACGTCTACAATGACACTTTGCAAGACGTCTGTTTCCATCCCAACGGCGATGCCTGCATTGTTCAGTCTGTTACTGGCTACTGGCAAGGCGATATCAATCAATTTGACCCCGCTTCATGGGAGAGCGAATTGCAGCAGTGCACCTCTGAGCCCTCCATGTGCTTGCCTGAATTCCAGCAACCTCTCAAACCTGAAATGATCCTGGGTGGTTACAAAGACAAGGACTATCTCACGGCCAGAGCTTTTGTTGTGACATTTGTCTTGACCAATTCTGTTAATGAAACGATGAACGACAAATCCGAGCATTGGGAAAAGACGCTATTGGCCAACATCTTGGAAGGATTGAATGATCGCCCTGAATGGAAGGGTGTCCGCATCAGTTACTCTACCGAGGTAAGTCTTCGTGTATTGAACCTGAAGAGGGTTATACAAACTAAAGTACATTATATGTAGAGCTCTTTGGAGAAGGAACTAAACAAGTCGAGCAACACAGACGCTGGCACTGTGATTATCAGCTATCTCGTCATGTTCATTTACGCATCTATTGCATTGGGCCGTCTATCGTCTCTCAACCCTCGCCGTCTCTTGATTGACTCCAAGTTCAGTCTCGGTGTGTGTGGTATCTTGATTGTTATCTTTTCTGTCTCCACTGCAGTGGGCATCTTTTCATTCACAGGCAAGAAGATTACGCTTATCATTGCTGAAGTAATCCCCTTTCTAGTGCTTGCTGTAGGTGTAGACAATATTTTCATCCTCTGCCACGAATACGCTCGACGTGTTGAATTGGGAGAAGACGAGTCGATCGAAGAGCGTGCTGCAAAGACATTAGGTAAAATGGGCCCCAGCATCCTGCTTAGCTCTCTCAGCGAAACCATTGCCTTTGCTCTAGGCACGCTTGTTACCATGCCAGCTGTCAGTAGCTTTGCCATTGTTGCCTCTATTGCTGTCTTTGTGGATTTCGTTCTCCAAGTAACTTGCTTTGTGTCTTGCTTGGTGCTAGATGCATACAGAGAACAGAACAGCCGCATTGATTGTGTGCCATGTATTCGTATCAAGGCGCCTGAAGTAGTCGAAAAGGAAGGTTTCCTGTCATCGCTTGTCAAGCGTTACTACGTGCCTACCATTTTAAACCTCACTGCTCGTTACATCATCTGCTTTGCGTTCCTCGGCCTCTTCACCATTGGCCTCTCCCTGGCACCTCAATTGCCCATGGGCCTTGACCAGCGTATTGCCTTACCATCTGACTCGTATTTGGTGCAGTATTTCAATGATTTAGATCAATATTTCAATGTTGGTCCTCCCGTCTACTTTGTAGTCAAAGACGCAAATGTCACTGAACGAGCTGTACAAAAGAAGATTTGCGGTAAATTCCCTGGATGTCATGAACGCTCCTTGGCCAACACATTGGAGCAAGAGAGAAAGCGACCCAACGTGTCTTACATTGGAGAGCCCACCAGTGTCTGGTTTGACGATTTCATGATGTGGCTCAACCCTGCTACGGAGTGTTGCAGACTCAAGAAGGATCAAATGATGTCTCGTCGTCCATTAAGTGATTTGGAAAAGCCCTACTATGCTCGCAAATGGGAGTTGTGCGGTGAGTGGGATGACGAGGATGAGTGCACCTACTGCAGTCCTCACTGGGATGTCAGCATGGAGTCCTTCCCTCAAGGCCAAAGCTTTTTGGACTTTTATGATCTCTGGATTGAAATGTCTCCTGATGAAAGTTGTCCTCTTGGCGGTAAAGCTGCTTACGGTGATGCTATCGTTGCCAACCACAAGGAAATCACTGTGAACACCTCTCATTTCAGAACCTTCCACACCCCTCTCAGAAACCAGGACCAGTTCATCTCTGCCTACGCCTCTGCTCAACGTATTGCTGACAATATCGGCAAAGAACTAGGACTGGAAATCTATCCTTACTCTGTATTCTACATCTTCTTTGAACAGTATACTTATATTGTGTCCATGGCCTTCCAAATCCTTGGTTTAGCCATCCTGTCCATCTTCTTGGTCACCAGCGCTCTTCTGGGCAGTCTCCGTTGCGGCTTAATTGTCATGAGCGTTGTCATTATGATTTTGATCGATGTTATTGGTGTCATGACCTTATGGGGTGTCAGTCTGAATGCTGTCAGCCTCGTGAACCTTGTAATTTGTGTCGGTATCAGCGTAGAATTCTGCTGTCATATTGCGCGTGGCTTCATGGTTGCCAGCGGCAGCCAAGAAGAGAGAGCCGGCAAGAGCATGGCCGACGTAGGTAGCTCCGTTTTCTGTGGCATCACCTTGACCAAATTTGCCGGTATCATTGTGTTGGCATTCACTCGTTCCAAAATCTTTGAAGTGTATTACTTTAGAATGTGTAAGTAGATGGATTATTTCTAGACACTTGTCAGCATTATACTCATTCTCGCTTTCGATGTAGATCTCTCTATCGTCGTCTTGGGTGCTTTGCATGGCCTTGTGTTGTTGCCTGTTTTGTTGAGCATGCTTGGTGGAGAGGGCATGGCTTTGATGACTGAATTTGATGAAGATGGATTTGCTTGGTCCACCGGTCATGATTGGAGAGGCTTAGGTAGAAACAACAATGGCTTACTGATTGACGACAATGAAAGCTCTGATCAGGTCTTGATTACCGATATGCCTGAAGATGATCAACAGCGATCTCCCGGCTACAATGTGTCGAATAGAATGACAGTCGGATAGATGACTTCTGTTATTATAACCCTTATTCTTTTTGTAAATGTAATTGCGAATGATTCAATAAAGATGTCTTTTGGTCTTTACGGAAGTGCTAAGCTTGTCATTCTTGATTTACTTCATTCAGCATACTATACTATAGTGATGCTGGCATTGATGGTAAGGAGCACCCAATAACAGTCTTGTCGCACTGTGCCCCGAGCTTTTTCTCATCAAGACATGAATGGAAAAAAGAAAAACCTCTTTTCATTGTGTAATTATACAATTGTAAAAGCACATTAACACTATCTACACAATACACCACACGCTTATACAAAAGCCTCTCTCTCTCTCTCTCTCTCTCATCACATTCAGAAACAGTAAAGCATATCAAGCACATTTAACTTATATATAACAAACCAAAAACATTATAAAATTCACTTAAAACACACACACACACACACACACACACACACACAAAGCACCTACCATCCTCCAATGTCTCCAGTCAGTAAACACCATGAATACGAAGCAGGCGAAATCGATGATGAAAGCAAACCATTCAACAGAAAGCGTAGCGTAGACCAGGTTTACAATCGACAACGTAGCTCTGCTACTTCATCATCTGCAGCAACACAGGAGGACGACCCATTTGCCGAATACGAGCGATTATCCCGCAGTAAAAGAAGGGATGGAAGTCGTGAGCACTATTCACATCACTCGGAATCGAGAAGGAGACACTCGCGTGATTTTGAAAGTAATAGTAACAATAAGGATAAAAGAGAAAACTCACATGTATCCTATCCTGGTGATAATTACAATAGTAAAAGATCCAGATCGCCTTCCAAGTCTACTGCTAACAGCAGCAGCAGTGCGAGTAGAAGGTATGCTACTACCATAGAAGATCCAGAGACAGTCAAGAGGTAATGTGTCTATGATGTTGAGGTTGTTCGTAGTGGCTAACTTGACTCGACTCGTAGTCAAATACCCAAGAGAGAGCAGGAAAAGAAGGAAGAGGAGCCCCCTATCATTGATTTTGAAATTGAAGATGAAGATGAAAAGAAAAAGGAAGAAGATAGACTGATTGAAGAGCGCAGAAAGCGAAGACAGGCAATTTTGAATAGATACAAGGAAAGCCCTGCAACTTCCTCGCCTAACACGCCTACCTGTAAGTGAAAGTTGACCCTTGCTGTGGCATGAGAATATACTAATATCAGTGTCAACTAGTGCCAACACCCTCTTCGCCCATTCAAATCACCAAGGAACGTGCAGCAACGCCAGTTGCAAGCAGCGATGTCATTATGCAAGAAGCGCCACAAGACAAGGCGAGTGAATCCCCTCAACATATATCGGCTGCTGACTATGACCCTGCCATGGACAAAGACCTTCATCATTCCGAATCACAGACTGATCTTCTTCGAAAGAAGGACTTGCAAGAGCCTGGTGTAGACAGCCATGCCGACATGCTTGCATCTGATTACACTGAGAAATTGGAAGAACAGCCAAAACCGACAACGACAACTGAAATTGACATGTTTTCTGACAATTTGGACATGTTCGCTGCTACAGATATCACCACTGGCCAAAACGCTTTAATGACACACGCAACTACAGCTGCCACCAACCCTAATCTCATAGACAATTGGGATGATCCTGAGGGCTATTATAGTACGCGCATTGGAGAAGTGCTAGATGGCAGATACCAAGTACTGGCTAATCTGGGTCGCGGTGTCTTTAGTTCAGTTGTCAAGGCCAAGGATCAAGAGACGAATGAGGATGTCGCTATCAAGTTGATCCGTAACAATGAGACCATGTAAGTAGCTTCTTGAGCCCATGTTTCATATAGATAGAGCCACTCATGCTAATCTCAACTCTTGTAGGTACAAAGCAGGACAAAAAGAATTGACCTTTCTCAAGAAACTAATGGACGCAGACCCAGACAACAAAAAGCATGTTATTCGCTTGCAAAGACACTTTGAGCATCGATCTCATTTGTGCTTGGTATTTGAAACACTAAGTATGAATTTACGTGATGTACTCAAAAAGTATGGTAAAGATGTAGGCATCAGTATCAAAGCTGTTCGTGTGTATGCTCAGCAGCTGTTCTTGAGTCTGTCCTTGCTGAAAAAGTGCAGTATACTCCATGCTGATATCAAGCCAGACAACATCCTCGTCTCTGAAAACAGAAACACGCTGAAACTGTGTGATTTGGGTTCTGCGTCTGATGCCAGCGACAATACTATCACCCCTTACCTGGTCTCTCGCTTCTACCGTGCACCTGAAATCATGCTGGGTCTCCACTACGACTACGCTATTGATATCTGGTCCTCTGCTTGTACCTTGTATGAGCTGTTTACTGGCAAAATTCTGTTTCCTGGTAGAAGCAATAACCAAATGCTGAAGCACATCATGGAACTCAAAGGCCGTTTCCCCAACAAACTGTTGCGTAAGGCGCAATTCACATCAGACCACTTTGATGAAGACTTCAACTTCATGTCAGTTGAGGTGGACCGTATTACCAAGAATGAAGTTGTCAAGAAAATGACCATACTGAAGCCTATTCGTGATGTCAAGGCGCGTATATTAGCTGCTACGACGCCCAATATGCCTGATGAGGAGACCCGTCTGGTCATGGCGTTCATTGACTTGTTGGATAAATGTTTGGTGCTTAGTCCTGACAAACGTATGACTCCACATGAAGCGCTGGTGCATCCTTTCATTACTGGTAAGGTCTGATTTCATATGCTCAGCATCTTAATTTTGATTTTATTATTACACAAATAAATGATCTGCATATTGTTCAATTTAATCTCTGTATCGTCTCTTCTTTTGCGATCTCTCAGATTTTTCTCTGTAATGTTCTGCCAAGTGTGTATTGTTGTTTCGTTTGTGTCGCTCGTATTCTCTGCTGTTGTGATCTTGTTCCAGCATCCTACTGTATCCAGGCTGACGATACGGCGATGATGTGGATGGACGGCTGCCTATACTCTCACGACGCTCAAAGGATACACGGCTATTTACATTCTCACGACGCTCATACGGGCTACTTTTACTATAAGGGTTCTTCCTGCTGTCATCTCTATGACGATTGATAGGTTCGTGTCGATCTCTACCACCTGCTTTATGCACAATGCCACCGCGACGGCGATTAAACCCTCTATTTTTGACAGCAGGTGCTCCTGTATCGATCCATGACTGCAGTAGCTTGAAACGATGTCCTTCTCTTCGCGGGTCCCCGTAGTAATGCTTCTCCACTTTGATTATCGACGATAAAATAGATTCGTTTTTTGAGCTGGATGCAATGCGTTTACGGAGACTATCGAGCGTTTTTCCAAAGATAAGTTGTATGGTATCAAATCGCAATGTACTTCGAGCTACATTAACACCTATTCTCAACCAGATCAATAAACTGTACCCCCCCCCCAACTGCGTCTACTCAATCCATACCTTCGACGTCAGGATCAACGATGGTCAATTTGCCTGATTTTGTATCCAATGGAATAGGGCACTCGCTTTTTGAAAGGTACGCTCCATTGCCTGTCAAACATATAGCCGTTGATGTGCTTGGAAATTGAGAGTAAAAGTTGAGGAACCCTATCAACAGAGTACCGTAGTAGTTGGGATCTGAGGGCTTCAATGTATCGGGTACTTGTAACTACCATGTCCTGAATTAGTTTCCACCTTCAGCGATCCTCATCATAGCAAACATTTACCTGGAGATAACTGACAATCATACAGACCAGCGAATAACTAGCGAGTCCAGCTGTTTTAGCAGACAAAGGTTCGAATTGTGGTAAACTAGATACTCGGCAATTCGCAATAGACTGTTTCAAGACCATGAACAAAGGCTTCAAAGCAGGATATTCTGCGACCCACGCAGCTGTTCTGTCGGAACTGAAGCATTCGTTCTGTACTGTAATATCTATTGAAACACCATTATCGTCCTCACCCATAAACACAGGCACCTTGGCACCTGCTGCCAGTCTAGTATTGTTGAATGAAAATATGTGCTGCGCAATCGCTTTTTTACGTATGATTTTGAGTACGTCGATCACATTGTTTTTCGGTAATTGCTCGAAATCAATGTTGATGTCAATGTCACTGGCTGGAAACTGCAATCCGGTGACACTGGATCCAAATGCTGTAATTTCATAGTTGTTGGGCCACAGCGATTCCACTAATTGAGTGATGCAGTAGAGCAGTGTGTCTCGATTCAGCTTTTCTGTCTTGGTTGGCTTGATGTACTCTTCAAAATCAATGATTTCTTTTGACAATCTACGCCAATGCTAACCGTTGAGCAGCTGTATCATGGAGACTAATATGAGATAGGTTACCTAGAGACTCGGTCTTTGATACTGAGCGTATCTTTGCTGCTCCATGGTGCATCCATATGTCTTTTTGTTGAAGGAACTGATAAAATGCAGATGAATAAGGACTCCCTTTCGTAGAAAAAAATTTGCCTAACTTCAATGCCTCTGTTTTATTGGCCAGCTTGCGATAAATCATTGAGCCATTTGAGTTGAGTAAAGAATCGCTGTGCACTGAAGAATTGTCATTTCATGTAGGTCGATTGTATGGGGACATGACCTGTCTACAAGTATGCATCTCCAGAGGAATCCAAATGAATACGGTGCTTCTTCATGACATGTCCTTTCTAAATAAGCCGTTGGTAAAAGGTGATACGCGGAAGCACATTAGACATGATATCAAATGAGGCACGTTGAAATGGCTTTAGACGAGAATTTGATACCAACAACATTTGTTACGTAACACGTGTCTCTGTATAGAGGTGAGCTATCCCCAATACAATAGATTCCATTATATAATTCACAATGTAAACGAATTGGATGGTTCAAATTGGAAACAATATCGCTAGTCGCGCCATCATCAAAACACATTTTCAATATTTCTTAGCTCTCAAGGTAAAGCTTGTAATAAACTTCAGCAAGTACTTTCCTGGCATGTCCGCTACAATAATAGTGATGATATGGAAGGAAAAGGAAAAAGCAGTTGTTGACAGTCGAAATTTATACCGGTAAACATCCTGGTAAATTGGCATTCCATGTAAAACACATCCATCATGTGTAAGCTGATAGACTGAACCGTATTGCGTATTTGTTGCTGAACGAATGGCTTGCTATCCATCGAACCATGTACTTTAGTTGAATTAATCAAGTTTTGAACAATCGGCTCAAATGTGCCGAGTTTGTCTCATTTAGGCTTTCAAGCTACTTCTATGGATGTATGTGATCTTTATGTGTGAGTTGGTATTACAGTAGTATTCGAAGTTGATGGGTAAATGAGTGAGTATTATAAAGTATTTAAGGATCTATACAATGACGGTTCAGGCTGTTGTCTTCTTCTTTGATTTTGTTGGGAACGACTGCATTAAAGGCATATAGCTGCGAGGTATTTCTACAACTAGAATCAATTGCTCTTTTAATCTCTAAATATCACCACTAGTCCAAATAAATATACATACCAACTTTCTTAAGCTTACGATTCTCCTTGCATAATGCACCACAATACCAACGCACAGAAGGGTTGACTGTGATTGAGGGCTTGCGACAGAGCCGATGGTACGCACGAGAGCATCCACCTTGACAATGAATCAACTGATTGCTATCTGTTTGCTTCGGAAATTGGCACACCAAGCAAAATTCCTGAACAATAGGACGAATACGATCTTCTATCTTTTCATCCATGTAGGACGATAAGTCCAATCGGGGCAAACGACTTGCGAGACCGTATCCCTTATAATCACATCCATGTTTACTATGGATATAAAATCACAATTAACATTACAAACCTTACAAACAAAATATAGAGTGTTACTTACTTGCAGAGCGTACGCTTGCCCCATGGTCCAGGTCTCCAATTTACACCTTCTGTAGTGCCGCAATATCTACACCAGTCCACATTCGCATCTGTCAACTGTTGAAACACTGTGCTGTTGCCATCGCTCATAACACTATCTGTCAGCTGATGATAGTTTTGTATCTCTTTGTTTTGATCCATATCATCATATTCATTATTGTCACTGCTGCTAGTTGGTTTCTGGATAGACTCAGCATCGTTTAAAACTACCACTGAATTATCCTCGTGCTCTTTCATTTTGAGCTGTCTCTTGACAGTGAGCTTGATCTTTCTTTGGCGCTTTTGACGAGGCTTTTTCGCTACTGCTGCCTTTGCTGGTGTTGACGACTGAGCTTTGGTTACACGCTTGCGCTTATTGTTTGTTGATCCAAGAACGGTATCATTTGAGAACACATCATCCAAACCACTCTCACTAGCAAGGTCACTGAGGCCGGGGCCATCCTTATCATCCCCCACAGCTGTTTCAGAAGAAGCAAGTATGTCACTGGCCACATCTGCATGAAAAGCATCCAAGAGCTTAAGCCAATCCAGATCTTCACTAGTCGATAAGCGCTGCTCCTGATGTTTTGATGCTGACCCAGTCATTGCTGATCCAGTCATTGCTGATGAGAAATCGCCATATTCTTCGTCTCCTCCATCATAGTCCAATACGGGTCTGTCGTCAGTTTCTATGATGCCGCCTTCAAATAATGGCTCATGGTTGTACAAGAAATGAGTAGGCAAACTGACGGGAGACAGGCAGTAAGGAGAGGTCACTGACGGCTGAAATGAGGATAAGGTCGAAAGGCTACTAAGTGAGGCGTTATCGTCTATCTCGACATGATGACTGGAGGGCTGTGCTAAAAAAACATCATCCTTAATTACGCTTCTCTGATGGCATGGCATAAATAAGGAGAGATTCGGGGCTGTAATCAAATCATGTATTCCCAGTTGTTGAGATGCGCTTACTGCCAACAGTGCTGCATCAGGGTTGTACTCGTGATGAATGTCTTGTGATATGTTTCCAATGGGCTTGTTGAGCGTATGGTGGGTTTGGCCTAGCTGTTGTTGCTGTAATACCAAAGCATCCCAGAAGCTGTTGCTTGTAGAGTACACTGGCATTGCATCTGCAAATGATTGTGAAAGTACAGTTAAATGACACTCATCCTTGTCAGCTGCTGGTTTGTTCACGATCGACATTTTGTATATTAGTAAAGGTGTGTGTAAAACAAAAGAGAGAAAGGGATGAGCAAGGAAAAAGACAATATAAATAGCTTGTTTGACTCTTTTATTTTCGAACTATTACACATTTCGAATGTTTGTTTGACCTAAAAAAAAAGGGGGGGAGGCAATGCCAATCAATTTCCAGCATTGACTTTCTCAATTGGGATTTTGCCCGTGCTGCCATGCATTTCTTGCTCTGAAGTATTGTGTGGGATGATTTGTCAGAGCTGGATAAACACATCAAGAGACATTTCTTGCACCAATAATGCGACCCTTGTATATAAACCACATCGCATCCTGGCACAAGGAACTCTTATTTCCATTTCAAACACTATCTATCGAAACGCATCATTAACAATCCAAGGCGGAGTCGCTCTTCAAAGAATTGCTGGCTGCTTGAGGCTTTGTTGGCATTCATCAGCTTTCTAATGCTTGGCTTTTTGTCAAATTGTTATTTTTGGATCACCATCAGAAAGCACAACTCTGAGTTCAAATGTCAAATGTAGCTTAATTGTACAGAACAACGTGGCTATGCGTAAGTAAACAAAAAAAAAAAAAAAAAAAGGGCCTAGTAGATACGCAATGATGTATTCGAACTGATGTTAGACCCAAATTGAAAAGGGCATTGCAAGTCAATTAGTTGGTTTCTGTACGTGGTATGTTTCAATCTGATACTTCAGCCCAGGTTGTTTCCCAAAAACCTGGGCTGGAAACGCTAGCTGCGAATTACATTACCAAAATCATCATGCCCATCTAAGACTACGATAAAGTGCTTTCCAGCCTGGCAGTATGTTGACCTATCAAGTAAAAGTGCATTATTTGCCTCTGTATAGCGCACTCAAATATTTGTCAGTGCTGCCACCCCAGAAAAGACGGTACAATCTTGATGGAATTCCACTCAAGCCATAATAGAACACGTCGTTTTGAGAGTAAAAGCACCATTGATCAAGGTTGAAGGAGCTGCCTTCAGGTTTACTATGCAAGCTATCTTGGATACAGTAATATCTAAGCTGACAACCGATGTATCTGTCCTCCAGAGAGGAACAAGAAGAGGTGTATACTCACAAAGTGCATCGTGTACAGTCCTGTTGCTCTTGAAAATGCCACATTGTGGACATGAGGCCACTGTCTAACTCAAGACAAATGCGATTTCAGGAGCCATTGATTTAGAGCCATGAGCAAGGCGGTATAAAAGAAGAATCTAGGTCTTGTCAATCCGTACATGGCGAGTTATGACCACCAAAGACTCCAAAATTACACCAGATGTAACACATTATAAATAAATCTCTCATGTAACACGGTTTTTGAATTTTCTCTCTTTTATTGTGATCTGCATTACAGTCAAACCGGTTAAATTTGCAAATGTGTACTACTCGTATGAACGTGTTCGCAAAGACGATTCCCTGTCTCAAATGCAGCCCCAAGAGTAAGCTATAATCAAACTCGAGGGCTTACTATCGCTGGAGCCTTGGAGATGACTAGCTTATAAATGTAATAATTAGCTCACATGCATTATGCTCAGGAATGAGCTTTCGGTAGCTATCAAGCAGTCCACATGCAAAGCATATCTACCAACACAGATAGTCATCACCCTCATTGGTCTTCAATACAATGGATACGCACCTATAGCATATATATATATAGTATAACCATCAAGATGGCTCATACAAACTTGATAAAACAAATATGCATACACAATCGAATACACAACAAATATATTTAGGTAACTGTATACTTTTTTTTTTTAATAAACAACAAACAACTATGAAAGTGAAAAAGAAGAGAGAAAAAGAGCAAACCACAAATAAAAGAGAGAGAGAGAGAGAGAGAAGAAAAGTAGGAAGGCCCTTAATGATAGTTATTCCAGTCAATTGAAGCCTTTTCAGAAAGACCCAGGTAAAATTCAACATGTGTATCCGTTGGGTATCTGATCACACTTCGTATAGCTTGGCCTAATGGGAAGATCCTTTCTCGTTTCAAATCAGAAATAACGACCCTCTTACCGGGTGGAGGTGATCCCGCAAAGTCGATTTCCGATAACAAATCTCGAAATGTATAAGAGTCTGTAATAGCTAAATTTCTGATGTAGTATACTTGCTGTTGTTGCTGTTGTGGTTGCTGCTGGTCGTCATTGCTATTCAATGATGGGGAGCTCTTCAAAGAAACTGTTTCTATTACTTTGGAATATGTAGGAGGTATCATGGGCCGTGCTGAATTATATGAGGGTGTCACATGCAATTGGTGTTGTAGTGTGGAGGATAATGATGATAAAGATGGTGTACGTAAATGAAGTGGTGGCAATTGTGAGGAGAAGCTATGGTTAGGGCGAGCGACTTGCTGTTGCTGCGACGATGTAGGCGGAGGTGGAGGCGGATGTGGGTGATGTAAATGATGGTGATGATGTGGATGTTGAGTATGGTGGTTATTAGAGTACAATAATGGTGTTGATGCGCTTGCATTGGGTGGTTTAGAGATGGTAGATGTCCGTTTTCTCTTGACTGCAGATGTAGAGGTGGTCATCATGGAAAAGTCAGGTGATTCAGCCATCGCATCTTGTCGATTGTTGTTGCTGTATTGCTGCTGGAAGGATATTTCGCGTACTTTTTGAGCCAAAGCACCTCCACCCACAACATTGCTATAATAACTGGGAGACGGCTGAGGCAACAACGGATAAGAGTCCACCGATGAAGAGCGATGAACATCCTCCATCATAGTGCCATTAGAATCAGCAGGTGAAGGCGGAGCTTGCTGTTGATTCATGTTACGTTGATGCCTCTTCTTGGCACGGTAAAGAGTACTAGAATGTGCCTTGCAAAGTGATACCTCTGTCAAGTCATTCAAACCAACAATTTGATGATCTCTGTCTCTGTAAATGCTGTGTGTAAATTCATCCAACCATTTCAATGTAAATTCATAGTCATCTCTATCTTGAGGCGATAATTTTTTTGCCCTGGAATCAAGACCTCCTTCTGGTAGATTCTTGCCACGACGCGGTTGGGTCTCTGAACACTGGCAATTAACGCCAAAATACTAGCCATAAAGTGTAGGTGAGTTGAGAGGGACTCTAAGTGTGGGGAAGGACTGAGACGACGATAACTTACATTTGAACAAGTGAAACAGATTGCACATACAATGCAAGCATTCTATGAGAAAAAGCAGAGGTTAACACGAAATCAATTATTGGTAATGAGAAACGGTACTTTTCTGACTAATAGTGGTTGCTGTTGTGGATCACTGGAGCGTGTATTTGGCATAGGAGAGGAGGGCTGTTGTTGCTGTTGTTGTTGTTGTTGTTGTTGTTGCTCAATCTTAAGATGATGGCGATGGAGTGGAAGTTCAGTGACCACTTGAGCCAACTGAAATAGATTATTCTCAGCCATTAGTATTATAGTTTAAGGAGTAAAAAAAAAAAGAGGAAACGAGGTGAAAAAGAGAGAGAAAAAAGAGAATTATTATAGCTGAAATCAAGGGGTGGCCCTTATTATTGTTTTTATGCTTTTTTGTGTATAAAATAAATACATTTATATTGTGCTCCACTTGAAATTAGGAGGCAACAAGCCATTATTGGTGGTGTTTCATCTACATTACGCTTCATGCTTCCTTCGTTTCAACGCACCACACCAAGTATCCAATTGCAACTGTATCCAGCATTCGGTCCTTGACTACCACTTCAGTCTTAACTTCATGTCTTCCTTCTTCTAAATCACTCGGGAGTGTGTAATCCGAGCTAGCAGTCAGAAGTCCGCGTGCTTTCTTCTTGTACTATACAAACAAAATCCTTTAATAAAAACAAACATACTTGCTGTACATCTACATAGAACGCTTACCTCCATTTTGATAGAGATCAGAATTGCCTTATCCTTCTTTTTCAAGTTGCTCATCAAGGCCAATCCGCCTGTCGTCTCGGCAAATGTTGCCAATGCAGTAGGATGTATTCTGCGCAAAATGTTAGATGAAAAGCTAAGAAAAAGTCGTAGCATTTGAATTACCCTTTTTGTGTGTTGTGTGTGCTATGACGATCCTACATGAAATCAACATCTCAGTTAACAACTGCTCTCTGAACATCTGCTATACTACGTTACCCGCATAATAGCAGTACAAAAACCACGTGAAAAAGTAGAGACACGCATATCTATTATACCTTCATTAAACACAGGCCAAATCAATAAACCAAATCTGTGTTATCCTTACCAATAGAACGGGCGTAAGGGTCACTGTTGTTCAAAAGTCGAGCAAAGGTCCAAGGTCTAAAAATTTTCACGACAGGTTTCCCTAATTTCTCCCAAATCATCAAAGGATGGCGACCATGGCGCAAGGTGATCAAGATGTAGATGATGTACGCCATTGTGAGGAACATCAGAACTGCCAAGAGACGACTAAATATTGTCCATTCCAATTTGAGGGCAACTTGAACCAAGTGGATTGTTGCTTCCAAGTGTCCATACAAAGCTGCAATGAGCGGTGAAGTAGAAGCCTCCGGTAAAAGCGATTTCATATTGTATCTCTTTCAGTGGTATATACTTCTAGTGGATCTGCCTTTGTTTTGCTGCTATATCGCTATGCACAGAAAAGAGTAGGATAGAGTTAAAAGGGCAATTGCAATGAAACGTTGAGGTTTCGTGAAAATCAATAGAAAAAAAAATTCTTCGGATCCTCAATCAGTGGTTGTACATTTGGAACACATGGATATTGTTCTATCTCTTTTGGAAGATCATGTCGATTTGCTCAACTTCATTCAAAGTAGATCCAAGGCTTGATGGTTGGGCTTGACTCTGTTTTTGCTTTATATATATATATATGCAACATAAAGAAACTCTGCCAAAATAATCAAGGGAAAAACAGTCTTTTGACAAAATAAGAGATACTCATCGGTTCCAAATTCCCCTGTCATTTCATGATAAATATTTGTATGAAATCTGATTGAGCGTTCTCCCTTTTTCCAGTAGCAACTAATTAGTAAGTACTAATATGCTATGATAGTATTAATTGCTTGAACCACTGGGTAATATAATTGCACTTCTGTGCATGTAGATCACCAGAACTGAGCTTCGGTTCATTTACAGACCGAATGGACATGCCTCGGATCAGTGAAATTGAATGGTACTGGCCTATTGGCAGAAGACTTCTCATACCAGAGTGATATTCTTAATCTAACTCAACGGTTCCCACAGATGGCTATATTGTAGAAACCAGGCTTATTCATTGTTTACAATTTCAATCTGTTCAATTGGCATACAATCAAACTTTAGATGCAATATACTGTCCATGCTTTATGAATGCTTCTATGTCTCAAGTGGTTCTTTAGCTTCGCTTCGCTCTGGTTTCAGTCAACATACACGGCAGCGCCTTGCACTGGCGATCGTCTTTATCCGTCGCTTTGAAATACTACAAGCTTCATCAAATATTCTACTAATGTAGCTTTTTTTAGCATCGGTTATCAGTAATACTACGCCATTAAGGATTTATGACTGTAAATCTGACTCTTTTGCGGTGTTCCACGGATGTACCAGCTAGAACAATTCATAAACAGGCAAGCAGCCTATTAATATAGCATCTTACTAATGCAAATTATGCAAAACACAGCATAATATGGACACATTCAAGCCGTGTTTTCTCGCGTTAGAAGCTGTTTTAGGCCATCAGAGTAACACCCAACAGTTTTTCTCATCTAACAGTTACTTCTTAACACCTTTGCTCAACTTTTTTCAGATCATCAAAAATTGACCAAAAATCCATGAGGGATACCTCATGACTTTCATCAAAAAACCATTATCAACAGCTTTACAACCACATGCCTTTTGATTCAATCCAAACCAGCCGCCAAATCAGAACTGAAGTGTTAAAATTGTCAAATCTTAAGCAACTTTCTTACTAGATTTATCATAATGGCTTTATATATGGCAAGTCACTTTGCTCGCATACACTTGTCCGTCTCTTTGATGCATTTGTCTTATTTCTAATTATTATCCTAATAAAACAATATCACCTAAAAAAAAAACTTTCATCAAAAATCAAACGATCACGTTTTTGACCATCAAAATGAAGACTTCTACTATGGTATATATTGAATCAAAATGATTGTATTGATCCAAAGCAACCCCTGAAACTACGTTTGTGAAATCTACATATGCAATATTTCGACATTTTGGCCAGAAACGACATTTCATATGTTCAAGGATTTCTCAATAAGCTTATTCAAAACATCTAATTTAATTAGCACCGTTAGAAGCGCTTTGAAAAGTACTCCAGAATTGGCTTAGGAAGTATGGGATGAGCATCACAAAACATACGTCTAATTTTAGAAAATAAGCCGATTGAATAGATTTTGACCGAAATCTGGCCAATCTTAAACAAAAAAAAAAAAAAAAAAAAAAAAAAAAAAAAAAAAAAAAACGTTGAGCGAGGATACAATTAGTTTTAGCTGCCAAAGGCAATGCCTCTCTTTTTATCATGACGCCAATTGATATTATGGCAACTAGTAATAGAAAAAATGCGAGCTAAAGCTGATACCGTAGACATTTCAAATTTGAATTTTATTGAATAGATCAACATTCAAATTTAAGGATTTTGCTTTGAGCGGTGTCTGACATTTGGAGTTTTGAAGTGTCATTTCGATATTTGAGTAAGATTCGGCCATGCATTCTTGCAAACATTTGAAATGCAGGGTTTGCGATTTGACTGAGAGCATTAATGCCACTAGTTAACGCATTCAAGAATATGAGAATAGCAATATGTTTTTATAATCATGATTGGATATTAACATGTGGAATTTGTTGAAAGATGATGGTTACTTCTAGCTTCTTAGGATGCTAGATACATATTTAGAAACATATCTGTTTGTAAAATACATGGCATGCCATGCACTGCTTGTTGTGTAGGCATACACCATGTCAATTGAAGGATGGCATAACTACCATGTAGCTCCGGCGACAAATTTGGTAGCTGCTGGTTTACAAATAAGGAAGTTATCGAAGGCACTTTCGGGCCGGACAGTTAAGCTTAGAAGACTGGAAGCTCTCTCGTACACATGAATGAAATGTTGGTGCTATAGTATATTCTTTCTTTTTCCAAAACCATAGGTGAGTGATCCTAACCATTGGAGAGAGAAAGGGAGGACATCTGGATGCATTTGAGGATAGATGGATAGTGTGGCTGTGTTGAATCTACATGACAGATGGATAGATTATGTTACGAGAATCACATTTCATGGATGGGGATGATAGAAATTTTGAATAGGGAAAACTCATTTTCTTCGTCTTGTTACGACAATCATCATATTAGATATCTACAATGGCTCAACGTCTCACCTACAGACGCCGCTGTTCTTACAACACCCGTTCTAACCGTGTCAGAGCTGTCAAGACTCCCGGTAAGAACGAGATGATATGCAAAACAGCATCGACATTTGGATATTGACTTTGTATGTGTATGATTAGGTGGAAAGCTCGTCGTTCAATACGAAAAGAAGCCTGTCAAGGCTCCTCGTTGTGGTGACTGTGGCGAAGCTCTCGCTGGTGTAAGTATACTGGATGCCATGTGGAATGAGGTCTGTTGTATTGATTGCAATATATATATATTAATAGGTCAAGGCTCTCCGTCCTCGTGAGTTTGCTACCGTCTCCAAGACTCAAAAGAACGTTAGCCGTGCTTATGGTGGCTCTCGTTGTGCCCACTGTGTCCGCAACCGTATTGTCCGTGCTTTCTTGATCGAGGAGCAAAAGATTGTCAAGAAGGTTCTCAAGGCCCAAAAATAAATCTATTAAACATTTGGATTTACGGATTCTTTTGGTATTTTAAATAAAACTACGTTTATTTGCAGCCAACTTTCTCAGTAATGGTTATGCGGTCTATACAAAATATTGCTTTTTTATTTCTTCTGACGTTTGCCAGAATTTGATTTATCTAAATTAGCTTTACGTTTCACAGAAGCAACCAGTGATTGAAGAGATGATTTGGATGTTTTGTCTTGAGCAGATGTCGATGTGCTGTCAGATTTGGATTTTTTCTCCTTTTTCCACTGGTCGTTCACTGTTTCTGTTGCTTCCTTCATCTTTGTTTGTCTGGCATTCAGTAATTTCTGCATGCTCTTTGTCTTTTTGAATTGAGGGTTGGTGGGATCAATGGCGAAATGATGTGATTCTTGAACCGCAGAGAAACGGGGATCGCTGACATTGATCTCGAAATCATCTTCTCCCAAATCAGCATTCTTCTTGGACTTCTTTCCCTTCTTTTTCTTTTCTAATTTCTCTCTCTTCAACACCTCCTTCATGTTGAAACCTTCACTCTTGCCACCATCATCCATGAGTAATTCGAGCTCAGCTCTTTCACGGGCCTTCTCCTCACGCTCTTGCTTGGATGCTCTCTTCTTTTTGGCATTCTTTGACTCCTTCTTCTTGGCGACGAAACCCTCATCAGCCATCTCCTCCATTGCTTCCTTGAAGAAAGGATCGTTCTTGGTTTCAGCATCCATATCAGCTACAAGAAGCTTAGATTAGGTCCAGGTCACTAGCCGTTTCAGTCTATACTTACAATCTCCATCCTCTTGGTCAGATTTCGCTTCCTTGTGTTTAGCTGCCTTCTTGGCTTGTCTCTTTTCCTTTTGTTTGCGCATGTATGTTTCAATGGACGTCTCTTCCTTGGGTTCGTCTTCGCTCTTCTTGATGACAAGAGCACCAGCGGCTTCACTCAAACCAGGAGTAAATGTGATTTCCATGTCGCCATCATCCTCTTCTTCGTCCACTTTGTCCTCATAGGCAGATTGCGTTTTGTTACTTCCCAGTAGCTTTCTGTATTTCTCGCGCAAGGCATCAACGTCTTCTTCCTCATCCTCTTCGTCGTCAGAGGAGGCAAGATATATGTCAAAATCAAGATCCTTGACATCATCTTGGGTGAAATCTCTGCGAGTCAATTGGAAACGATCAACATCATCCTCGTCCCAGGTCAGGCTTACTTTGGTACGTTGAAGAGCCTACAGTCATCAATCAGTGCATTGTTATGACAAACCATGACTACAACTTACATCAGTCTTGAATTTGGTGGGCTGATAACCTTCAGGAGCACTGGTAGCGGTGTCCTTGGGTTCATCATCAAATGTCATGTCTTCGGGTATATAACGCAGATCGAAAAAGTTTGCACTGCTTTCATACTCGGTATTATCGCAAGTCTTGTAGATGACCTTGGCAGTTTGAGGATTGTCGCACTCGATAACAGCATAGTAATACTTGAGTCTGTCCAATTGGTATTTACGCAAAGCTTCTTGATCGAAATCTTGGCCATCGCCTTCCTCTAGTTGATTTTTGATGATGGTTTCAGCAGTAATCTCTTCGTCAGAGTCGTCAGAATCATCGTCGCTGTCGTCCTTCTTCTTGTTGCTCTTGAAGATTTCTTGAGGAGGACCCTGGGTTTCTTCCAAAGCCAAGCGCTCTTTACCGAATTCAGAGGGATAGATGGTGACGCTCTTGATTATACCAGTATCAGGCTTAAAGCCGCCCAATACCTTCAAAATATCCACAGCTTTGATCTTGTCCCAATCCATGTTGACCAAAGCCAGACGACTGGTTTCTTCACCTTCTTGAATGTGCTTGATGCGGTCAATCTCATCCAGTTCGCTCTCGACATCGCTTTCTGCATCAGATTCATCTGAGGTATCATCATCAGACGATGAAATATCACCACGGCCACGCATAATATCGTATCCAGCTTTCTCGCCTGCCTCTGCTTCTTCCTCGCTAGATTCGCTCTCGGATTCTTCGTCAGCCAAATTATCAGGATCTTCAGCAAGCTCCTTCTCCAATTGCTCCAAGCTTTTATCTTCATCCTCACTGTCATCGTCTGACTCTTCCAACTGGTAGAAACGTTCTAACTCTTTCTTGGCGCTTCCTTGTTGCAAGCGGCGGCCATACTTGTCAACTCGAGGTCCATCACTGAAGTCTTTGGATTCCATCATTCCAGCAAAACGCTTGTCAATGGTGACCTTCATATCCTTCTTCTTGGGTCTCAAGAAACGAGGATCATTATGAACACTGGAAAACCGAGGATCGTTGGTAATAGGAGTCTTTGGTTCCTTGTTTTTATTGTTGAATTTTTTGGGTGCCATATGAGTAGTAAACAGAGCAATGTAGAAAAATGTCAAATTCGAATTTTTTTCCTCGATATAACCCAGAAGGGCAAATGATTAGAGGTCACTGTCAAGCCACACTGGCAGATCGAAATTGGCATGAATGCAAATCAAATGGTGAGTATTGCCGTATGTCTATTGACTTGAATCGAGTTTATTGGGCTCTTCCTGGAAGAAAATGCTCCACTGAAAATAGTACCAAAATGTGAACAGATATTGCAGTAATCATAACGGTGCATAATGGGGGATGTCCAGTTGAACATTTGATGTGCTATATTGGTATCCCAAACATCTTGCGTAGACGGAGATCTTATTTAACGACGGCTTCAGCTTGAATATACTCGGTTCATTATCAAAGAATATGAAATCATTTGACATGAATTCTTTTTGACACATGTAACCTTAAAGCCGAAATGACAGTGTATGACAGTTGTGCGGATAGCTTCCCATGAGACAACAGGATGCCCTTAAAACTCAGTGCTTTCTTAGGCTAGCAATGGTGGAACGAACACGACGGTCACTGTGGGCAATCTGCATCTGATGGAGCATTCTACACATTTCTTTTTTTTTCTACATATCAACTATATATCATTCTATACAACATGGTAAGGGCTTGCTAGATATTACGTGACGAATGCATTGAAAGGCTCAATAGCATGCGCATCTAGGGTAACCATACTATTCTGTTATTACAAGCACACCCAGGACAATCGTAAGATGATTTTCAGTATTTTGCAGTGTTCGAATGCGCACTAACGATAAACACATTACAACAGTTCCAGAACTTACTTGTAAGTAGTAGAGCGAGCAAACTATCCCATTCAGACATGATTTTAATTTTGATTTTAGCGATTTCCCTACAGAAAGCGAGGCAATGGACCGTAAGTGGGATTGAAATTGGATCATTTGATAGAATTCCAATGTTGATGATGAAATTAGACATTGCTGGCTTATACGAAGTTCGTCTTGCAAAAGAGAATCCCAATGCGGGACAAGTACAATACAGGTAAAGAGGCAAACGCTCAGCATTGGATGTAATGGCGTGCTCATTTGCTTATACAGAGCCGAAGATCTGTTCAGATTTATTGACACATACAAAGAATTCGTCGCACTTGTGTTTGATCCAAATACTCTTGTAAGTATTGATGCGAGAATTAGCATTTCATCCAGCAATATAATAATCGTACAATAATAGACATATCAACCACGCGATAAAGATTGGATCAAAGATTGCCTGATTGCTCATTTTAGTGGGCAGCAAGCAGAGGAACTTCCACCAGTGAATCAGCAGCCTAGACAAAATAGCAGCCATAACCAACGCCGTAGACGCCATTAAAAGGCCTTTGCGATGCCATTGTATACATTGGGCGAATCGAGAGAAAGCGAGAAAAAAAAGAGAAATAAACACATTGTCATGCACTGTATCCTTATTTACACAAAAAGAAACCTTGATACGCGCGTGCACGAGTCGTATATATATATATTATATTGTACATCATGATTTACAGGCACATACAACCAGTCCCAGCAGAGGGAGGTAGAGTAAAGGGTCGTGAGGGGAGCGAGAGTGGTAAAGCGACGAAGCTCCTCCACAATTTTTATCAAATTTCGTTATATACAACCTCATTCAGATTTCTCCCCCTTTTTTTTCTTTACTATTCTTTCCATCTTTTTTACTACTTTTGAACATCAAAACATAAGCGAGTAAGCCATCTCTTACAACATGCCACATTGGATTTGCTTTACTCACTGTTTTTGATTTGCAATGTACAGGTCAATGGCTGTATATACACCTGTTATTAGATTACCACCGAAACGCAAACCCAGCTTAATTCGCAAACATGGCAACAGTAGTAGCAGCACAAGCAATAGCGGTCATGGTAGCCCAAACGAGCTATCGCTCGAACCCAGCGATTGCCTTGTCTCTGACACATTGTATCTGAGCAAGTTGCCAGCCAACATCAGAGAGAGTGATATCCGTACGTTGCTGCAACATTGCATGCCCATCGAGTAAGTTAGTTTTTTATTAATTTATTATTAAATCTCCTCCCCTTCCAATAACAATTACGATATTTTATTAAGGATATTTATTGATCGAGAGAAAGACATTGGGCAATTGCGATTTAGTCAAGCTAAATATGGTACAGTACGCAGCAGATCCAGTGGAAAGCAGTGCCACTAATACCCAACACAATAGCGGACAGAGCCTACTCTCTTTACAATGGATTTACATTCACCAACAACACAAAATTAGAACTGCAAATGTATCAAGATAAAAGATTAGATCCCGAGGCAAAAGCCGCATTATTGGAAATTAACGGCCTGCCCGAGCATTTTGATGACAACAAGCTGTACGATGTATTTCGTCCATTTGGCCCCTTGAACCTGTGTAAATGTGTCATGAAGGATGGTGCTTTTAGAGGCACAGCGTTTGTGCAATTCTTCGAGGCATATAGCTCAAATGAAGCAGTAGCACAGATGGTATGTGTATGCGTATGTTTATTACAGCATGGATCCTAATCTTGTATGTACAGAACGATCACTCATTGGATGGCCATAGATTGTAAGTATTTCAGGGGGAAAAGGGTTCAAGAGCACATCGACTGGAGAAGAAGCACTCTATGCTACTGTGTTTTTTTCTCTAGTAGTTTTTTAGAAGCCTTATTTAAGGAGCATTCCTATTCACTCTTTCTTGTTTCTTTTTTTCCCTCTCTTTAGATCTGTTGTTCCTTTCATGCTCTCAAAAACGCATGCATCTCAGCAACAACATCAACAACAACATCGCCAACATCAAGAGGAGGTAAAGGCTCTACTAATGATCCAATCTCATATCCAATGTTGGTAACACGTCATTCTCTTCTCAAGTCTTTAAACAGCCACAGTACCCATAACAATCCAGAAGATCCCAATTCAGTTGATATCATGAATTTATACATCAAAAATCTTGAACCTCATATTACAAACCATGATTTAAATCAGACATTCCGAAAATTTGGCCGAATTATCTCGGCTAGAGTCATGACAAATCCAGCTACAGGCCAGTCAAAAGGCTATGGATTTGTGAGTTTTGGTAAATCTGAAGAGGCAGCAGCAGCATTGAAGGAAATGAATGGTGTCATGCTTGGCAACAGACCACTCACAGTGGCATATCATGAGCCCAGAAAGGGAAGACCCAATACTGTGAATTACAACAATCACAACAACAATAGCAATAGCAATCATCACCACTATCCGCATCCACAGCACCAGCAACATGACTACCAACAGCACTCCTATTATAACAGCACCAACAACAACAACAATAGCAGCATGGAGAGATCGAATAATTGTAAATCTACTGGAATTGATGATTTCTGACTCTGTACTCATTTTACTTTTTTAGTATCTTCCTCTACGCCCATTAATGGCCTTGGTATCGATAACGTGGATGAATTAGGAATGAACATGAACCTGAAAGACCTTTCCATTGGTCAGAAACCTGCAACATTGCATGCTGCTACTATTAATTTACCATCTTCTCGAAGCCAGCAACACCATCCACCAGCCAGATTATCACCTCCGTTCTCTTCCTCACCCATCTCTGGAGCCAGCACGGGTAGGTCACTGGCTTCTCTTGCTTCTGGCCTCAGTATCCAGCAACCGCCACCCATGCAGCAACAGCATCCTGTTGCCCATATTGGCCACAATGGACGCCCCACACTTCGCCGTCGTGGTTCATTAGAGTCTGTCATGACAGAATCTAGTGCCAATCTCCAGAGAATCAAACTAGAAGACGCTGTCCGTCAATGCGGTGACTATGGCAAAGCAGCCGCAGACATTGTAGACATGCTGTTGACATTAAAGAGAAAGGAGAGATCGCTGTGTCTGTTCAACCCTGACTTTTTGCATGAAAAAGTGCAATTGGCATTAGAAGCATTGGCTACCTGCAACGAAACAGACAGTGAAGAGGAGGAAGATGATGATGAAGACCAAGATGGATTAGAGATGGAATACGCCATGAGAAGCCATAAGAAACCCGTATCACCTCCTCCTACTACAACATCATCCGCACAGTCTTATTACACACCCGTTCAGCGTAATGTTATACCATCTCCTCCTATTCCCAGCGCAAGAAGAGAGTCTAAAGCCATACCCATTGTTGCTCCACCTCCCAAGCCAACCTCAATGACAAACACAAGCAGTTCGAGCGCATCCACATCGACAGTGATCAAAGAAGAAGTGGAATCCATGCTGATCTCTTTTGAAGGCAAGCCAATTCACGAAAAGAAGCAATTGTTGGGTGACAAACTATTTCCCCTTGTCAAGGTAAAGCTGTAGCAATTTGCGAGATATTAGTAGTAAACTAACCCTTTTATTCACTAGTCCACTGGCACAAAACAAGCACCCAAAGTAACCATTTATCTGTTGGATACAGTGGACTTGCATGAATTAGCCAATATCATGTTTGATACCCCATTATTAAAGAGTCGTGTTGAAGAAGCTTTCAACGCATTACAGCAACAGCAACATTAAAGCTTTAATGACTCTGTGATGATCTGATTTTGTCGATTCATCAATTCAGATTCTTCGTTTTCATAATAAATTCTAGCTCTTTGTAATCCGTCGAAATATTGCTTTGGTATATGATCTGTGATAAAGAAGGGATATAGCTTCTCGATAAAGTAAATTGGATTGCCATTTGGGAGATAGTTTTGTAACCAAGGTTTGTAAATGAAGAATTTAGCCCAATTAGGCAGCATGGCTTGCTGCTCATTCATGAGCTGCTGCTGTTGTTGTTGCTTAAGCAGTTTACTGTGTACAACAACTTGGTAGTTGCTGTTTCTGCTGCTATCACTGCGGATATTGGTGATAATGTTCAGTTGCGTGGGTGCTTCGTAGCTGGATGGGAAAGATTTCAATGGTTTGGAATGCCAGTTATGGGTGATCTGAATAGCATGTCCAACATGGGAGTAATTGAAAAAGTCTGATTCCGACATGAATCGACCTAAACGATCAAGGGATCATGATAAAAAGGAGATATTAGCTCATTGATCATCACAACGGAAAGGAGACATCTTACCGCACGTTCTACTATCATATCCTGGAGGTAATCGCGAGAATATATCAGACTTGTTGATGATACGGAACAGCGTGGAGGCTCGTGTTACTGGTTGATTCGCATGAGAAGCAAAGGTAGAGGCAAAATCACTACCACCAACTGCTGGTGTTCCTATCACATACGCATCGCGAAGCACGAGTCGACGGCTTAAATCAGAGGGGCACTTGAGCCATCGTGCGAATAGCAAGCTACTTAAACTAGCTCCCAACGAGTGGCCTGTGATCCAGAGTTGTACAGGCTCACTGGTGCCCAATTTCTCTTGCAATTGCTCTGCTTTGGATTGTACAGCAGCTAATATAGCGCCATAAGGATCACGCACATCTTGACCGCCAAAGCCGCTAGTAGCAAACAAAGACTCAAAGAAGCCAGCATGAACGCAGCCAAACAAAAAGGAGCGAGCATCTGTGCGTTGAAAGGTAGCATCAACGAGGAATTCCTCCTATAGTAAAATTGTCAGTTCCTCTACTTGTAATCAAGCCGGTTGAGCGGTTTATAACATACGTAGTTGGTAGGCGTTGTCCCTTTGAAAGCAACAATGATAAATGGAACCGTCTCTGACCAAAAGATACCACAAAACGGGCCACCCAGAGATTTGAGCTCTGAAACGCCTGCAAAGTGTAAGCCCCAGCTCTCTGCGATTTGACGGATACGCGCCTCGGATTCCCAGAGCAGCTCCTTCATTCTACTTTCAATGATGCCTTCTGCCTGTGCTTCAAGGACTGGGTTCTTGCTGGAGGAGCCTGCTTTGGCTGCTTTCGTTGATGAACTGTACAGATCAAAAGCATCTCTCACTTTTCTGGCATCACGCTCATAGATCAATGAAGACAACAGCACAAAAGTCTGAGCTATGGAGAGATCAAACGTACGTCTTCGACAGCCTGCAACACTGATAGGTGTTGCAGGCAATCCCAAAACAGGTAGCGTTCTTTGTACGAGTTGAGCAGATGAATCAGATAACAGTAGCTCAGGTGCCCCTTTTGTTGTTCAAACAAACAGTAAATAGACATGCAACATGCTATTATGCAATATACCTACCCCAATTGATAGCGCCAAAACCTTGACCATACTTGAGGCTAATATATCTCACTACTTCAGCTCCTTTCCATGTCTCCATGAAGAGCTTGAGTCCCATTTCAAATAAGACAAGAAACGTAACACTGGAAGGATAAACAAGAATCAAGGCTGCAGAACTGATGGGTGCCGTGAAGAGCATTGTCCAGTTAAAGTAAAACGTCAAGAATAAGTTCTTGAAACCATTGATCATGTAACCGAGGTATGGCCATGAGCGACTTCTTCCAGGTTCAGGAATGCCTTGTTGACGCAAGCTTCCGAGTAAGCTGTGTCCTTGTTTCTTGTCGATAAAGATGGGGGTACCAGATACACTAGTAGTAGCATGGCCAGATTCATCTCTCTCACCCAGTTTATGATGATGGCTTCCATTTGATTTCTTGGAGGCGTTGGTTACTGTGCTGCTGGTACGACTATGGCTACCATGACTACTGTCGTAGTGATGATGATGGCCATGATGAGTGTGGTTTGGATCTTCCTTGGCATACAGAGACTGCTGCTTCATGTTAGTCACCTTGCTAGTGTCAGAAGAAGAGCTGCTGATCTGACTGCTGGCATCAAGTGATCGCGACCCTTTCACTGCATGGTGTTTGAGCGGATCAGATCAAGTCTTTATTGACAGTAGAGTACTTACTATGATGAAGACTATGAGTATGTATTGACATGCAATAACAACAGAGAAAAAGAAAGGGGGGAAAGAGTTGTTTATTGACATACATTTGAGAATCGCTTCAAAATATTAAAGTGGGCGTTTTGTTTTGTTTACTTGCCCTCCTCATTTTCATTTAGAGTTCTGTTTCATCGTGTGTATCTGAAGCATCAAGCAAAACGCCATGTTTGATAAACAAAATCATATGCTTAATCGGAAATAAGCTATTTTTGTAGAAACAAGCAACTTCAAGTTTCCATTGATCAAAAGCACCTTCCTACTATCTCAAATTGGATATGATACGGACCATCTAGTAATTTGAGCTACCAAGTTATGGACCACCTATATTTGAGCTAGTTTTATAGTATAGTAATTTAACTAGATGCAGAGTATCTGTTGTATCTAAAATGTCCAGCGCGCTTTACGAGCGCAATCAACTCAAAAATAAGCTGAATCCTTGAGCTGTGATATAATGATACAACAGCGCCACTCAACCTAATATTTCCAACTGAATATCCGTATATAACGGCACTAGCCGATCTATCTCGCTACGCTCGATGACGGCGTCGCCCTGCGGGCTCTGGCCGAAGACATTTCAAATCAGAGATAATAAAAATTTGGTATATCAAGTAGGTTTTAAACAATGATTATATTCGATTCGAAGATTTTAAAACAAAAAATAGACTTGAAACTTGATTGAGACGACAGGAGTTGGGAGTTACAGACCAACTTTTTTTATACAGCATTTATATTATATAATACTTCTGGGTAGACAACATTCTCTGTCCGAGTCGCATTTTCTGGCAGTAGAATTGTCATACCATTTGCAGATGTTGCTCTCGAGATGGCAACATAGAGTTGGCCATGTGTGAAAACAGGACTCCTGAGGTCTACAGCGACTTTTCTAAGGGATTGCCCCTGAGACTTGTTGATTGTCATCGCAAAAGACACTTTTACAGGGAACTGTTTCCTAGTCAAAATAAATGGTAATGTACCAGGCAATGTTGATAATGTAAAGCGAGGAATCAACTCTACTGCACCTGACCCTCCGAGGATTTTCACCTTGAGGACATACTGTCCAATTTGCTGAATGATCAGCCTTGTACCATTGCACAAACCTCTTTCAGGGTTGAGGTTTCTCAAGAGCATTACAGGAAGACCTACTTTCAACTCCAAAACTGCTGGCGGCAGCCCTGAAGGCGAAAGGGTTTGCAAATACTCTGAGGGATAGGCTTGGGTCTCCGTGTTGGTCAGATCAGACTGAGCTGTGTCAGCAGAGTACAGAGTGACCTTTTCCCCAATCACGTTCTCCATCACCTTGCTGTTAATAGCATCAACGTTGACGTTCTTTGAACAGAGAATAGCTCTTTCCTTGAAGAAATCACTATTTTGCAGAGGACACTGCAGAACATGCTGAGGATAGATATCTTCAATGAACTGATCAAGATCAGTCATCTGCCTCAAAAAAGAGGGCAAAGCAATGCTGCCAATCATGGATGGTTCATACGACATTTTTCCTATCCAATCTGCAAATTGCCTATCTGTGTCATTGGAGTTGGCAAGTCTCATATTCTCAGTCAGGCTCAGCTTTTGTAATTTGGGCCATAATCTTGACGATTTCAGTGAGGCATTGACGATTTCAGGACGGCCACCTTGCCTAACAACAGGTGGAATTTGAGCAAAATCACCGCCAAGAACAACAGGAATACCACCAAAGGTAACTTCATCACCACGACTACAAATATCACGAAGTGTTCGATCAAAAGCTTCAAAGCAATATCGATGCTGCATTGGCACTTCATCCCAAATTATCAATGATGTCTCTCGAATGAGATCAGCAAGATCATCGTTTTTCTTGATTGCACACACAGACTGCTCGTGGATGTTGAGTGGAATGGCAAAGCGAGAGTGCGACGTACGCCCACCAGGAAGTAGCAAAGCAGCAATGCCAGAGGAGGCAACACAGAGAACAATTTTTCCTTGGCTTCTATAAAAGTGACAAAGAGTATTGTAAATGAAGGTTTTGCCAGTGCCAGCTGGACCTTGCAAAAAGAAATGTGAGCTATTGGTGTTGCTGTTGATGGAGGAGGTGATGGTATCAAATACGTGCTTCTGGGTAGCGTTCATTTGAGCGTACTTTTGCTGGTACGAAAAGGCTTCTTGATCTTGGAGATATGACATTTCATTGAGTATCAATGAATTGCGCTGTATGCCAGTCATTCTGCTTATCAAGCCATTCCAGTTGAAGAGAGGCAAAGGCAAATTGAACTGACCTAGAGATCTGTCTTGTGCACCAAGAGATGTTTGCAACAGATATAAGCCGTAATCAAGACTTCGCGTTCCATGGTAAAATTCAGCGTCAGGTTGCACGCTGAGCAGCAGCGAATACCCTTTTTGCACGATTGCATGCTCAAGATCATCACAGAAACTTTCACAGAATTGATCCCAAATCTGAACAGGCGATACCAATGAGTTGAACATGAGCGCAGAGACAAACATTGAACGCATTGCGTAGCCAGAGGCAAAGGTAGCAGCTTCTTCAAAGGCTCTGGTCCATTCTCCATCATCTTCGATCAAATGCAGCATCATACAGGCCTCGCGAAAGGTGGCGTACTCGTGATTATTGACAGTTCTCAGATGAGAAAACGACATGGCTCCTCTGACAACTGTGAGCAGCAGACGCAGATAATACCTCTCGCCGGCAGCAGGATTGCAGTAATACATGCGCCCAATTGACATTCTACTCGAAGACCTAGGCTTCCACTTTTTTGCATTCTGCTGCCAAGTCATATGTTCAGGGAACTCTTGATAAAGCAACGGTCGAAAACCGGGTTTGCCGTGATTTGCATGGTTGTAATGAAAGTAAGCCATCAAAGTAGAGCGACTCTCTCTCAATACTTTGTCAATTTTCTCCTGTGGCCATTGGGGATCAAAATAAACAGGTTGCTCGTTTTCAAGATGCACAGCAAGTGGAGTAACAGATGGGCTTTCCTCATGCATTGGGAATTCAAACAACCTCCATGCAGCTTCAACAGGACTAATATAACGGCCATTTAGATACTTGGCTACTTCGTTATTCTGAGTTGTTGCTGTGGTAGTGGCATTTGCTGTTTCAGTGGCTGTGGTGGTGGCTGTAGTTTTGAGCGTTGTCTGATCAGAGCCTTTGTAAATATACTTGTTGATGTACTTGATTGCCTGGACGCTACCACATACTTCGACATTTACATGGGCATTGTATTTTTTTGACAAATAAGGGTTGTATGGCACCACCCACTCATTCGTCATGTGGAAATCGCGGTAGACACCCAACTTGTCCTTGACGCGCACCTGATGAGAACGACCATCTCTTCTTCTTCTATAAGTAGGATAACCATCAGCACTGGTCACCGTTACTGGCTGGTAGTTTTTGGGAAATTTCTTTGAGCATACATCATTGCCAAAAGCATCTTGTACCATACACGGAGACTTTGAGTTTAGCTCGCCACATGGGCCATGCATCATATTGCGAGTGATGATTGCATGCAATTCAGGTTCTTCTTCAACATTTGGGATCTCAGCGCAAATGATCTGATCAATCCTCTCTGGCGTATCAAATCTATCTGTTTCTGCATCCAAAAACAATAGCATATGACCGTGAGGGAGACCACGCTTTTGATACTCAATAGTCCTTACAATGCCTTTATAACAGCCAAAGACCTTTCTGTCTTTCAAGTCTTTAAGCAGCTCTCGGTGCTTAAGGTTGAATACTCGAGCAACCAAGTCGGGGCGATCAGCGGCTGTTTGGCCTGGCAACAATTCATCTTGGATCTCCCTCCAGTTTGGGTTGGCAGTAAATGTGATGAATAACGTTGGCTTACCAAAGAATCTAGAGATAGCCATTGCATTTTGATATAGCTGCATCATGAATCGCGGTCCACCAGTGAAGCTACTGGGCAAGATGAACGTCTTTCCCACCTGTTCGAGGTCTGAGTCAGCAGCAGAGGTAGCATCAGCAAGTCCTTTATACACATCAGCGCGAAGATTCGTCTGATTGACTTTGATCCAGTTCAGTTTTGTTTGCTCACAGATTGCCCAGGCATCAATCACATATTGTTGAAATAGACGTCTTGACAAAAAAATGATCTTTGACTCGTTGTTTCTAACATGCAATCGAAATCTGTAGAACACGCCCTGGGTAAGTCGGCTATCTGACACTTGTTGTTGTTGTTGTTGCTCTGCTGGTGTCTCATCTTCTTCGCTCTCAATAATCATGGCATCAGCAGTTTGCGCTGACGATTGCAGTCTTTGGCCCCAATTCCACCCATATTCACCTCTAGGAAAAAGCAAAGCATAATGAAGAGGCATATATGCAGCATGCGTCTCATTGATACGCTTAAACTGGCCTTGAGCCCTGGCCGAGGAATTGCTACGATATGTGATCAAAATATCTCTGAAACTCCTGTCAGAACACTCGTTTGGAATGATGGCAGCAATCTCGTTGACAGTTGGCAGATTTTGAGTGCGTCTGTCCTGGCCAACAACCAATTCCATTTGCATCTGAGGACTGAGCCTGATGTGAGCATTCTCGCTAACACCATCTTGAGCTTGCCTCTCCTCTTCTTCTTTCAGGATTTCGTGAGCATGTTTGTAGATGCTTACAAATGGATTGCCACAAACTACAGGATCAGCAATCATTTCACTCAGTTGCTCAATGATCGTGTCGTCCAATCCTTGATTTCTGGGGTCTGCACAGCGAATCGCAGCGGCATACTCTGGGTCGTAAACGTACAGCTGGCTATACTTTGGCACATTGCTCAAATTTAGTGGTGCTTGCAAGTGATAGAGTTCCCCATGAACACGAACCGGCGTGATGCCGCCTCTCATCTCATTCTCTCTATCCCTTTGGAGCTGCTCAGGCGTAGCATCGGTGCCAAATGATGTAAATGCGAACAAAGTGTTGTATTGTCGCATGTGCTGCAAAAAATGAGAGGATCGAGGATGGCTTCCGTTGATCAAGCTATTTAAAGGCTCGGGAGGCTCTTGCAAAAGGGGCAAGACAGCTCTACCTTTTTTGCAGCAAGCATGAAAGCAGTTGTCGTTTACTCGCTGTTGAACAGCCCTCTCTGCGGCCCAATGCAAAGCTCCACATCCATCACATTGGTTGTCCATTCTGCCCAAATCTGAACGTTGTACTCTTCCAAGTTCTGATACAAACGCTGCAGGTGCTCTTGGTGTTCTTCGATTCGCCAATCTTCTTTGCCTGGCGTAATTTCGCGCTCGTTCCTGAATTTGAGTACAAACAAAATAAACCATTGCGTCTCAGGGTTTTATTAGGCGTTAAAAGCCATTTTACTTACTCGACATGAATCACATTTCCGATAAGCATAGTCTACTGGAAGAGCAGCTCTACAGGTCGTGCAGTGTCTTGTTTGAATAGTAGGAGGCATATTATTACGTACGTATAATAACAAAAAGCAATGTATCAAATTTTTTTTTTGGTGCCTTATATTCTTGGTGGAGGGGCTAAGCCCCCTCCCCCAAACCCCCTCCCCATTGCCGGCTTCGCCGGTGGTTATGCCCTCGTTTGTTCTGGCTTTTAATACTATTAAATTTTAAAAGGATATGATTGGCTTGTCTACTTTTTTTGAATGTTTTACAGTATATATATTAGATATATTAGATGCTCTGAATCTATATTAATGCATACAATGTCTATACGTCTTTGTATCATAACAAGAATCCGCCTATTAATAAGCAAATGCGTGAAATACAACCAAATTCGACAGTTTTCAAGCCTTACTGTCTTGACATGTAGACTATTCTGAGTCACCAGAGTAACGCCAAACGACTGCACTCGAGTAGCAGTAACTTCCTGATACCTTTGCTCAACTTTTGGAGGACCCAAAAAATAGCACCAAAAATTGACCAAAAAGTATGAGGTACCCCTCATGATTTCCATCGAAAATCAAACAATCGTGTTTTTCGCCTTGAAAATGAAAACTTTTATTAAGGTATATATTGAATCAAAATGTTTCTCTAAATTGAAAGCAGCCTCTGAAATCACTTCTGTGAGGCCTCCATACGAAAAATGTTGACATTTTGACCAAAAGCGCTATTTCATATTTTCTAAGACTACTGAAAAGGTTTATTCAAAACATATAGTTTAGTTAGCACTGTTAGATGCGCCATGAAAAGTACTCCTAAAAAGCTTAAGAAAGTATTGGATGATCACCACAATTTACATAGTCGAATCTCCCAGAATAGTTCAATCAAGTCGAAAAAAAGAGGATCTGTCCAATCTGGAACAGTAAAAACATTCTGAGCGTGAATCGATTTTGGTGGCAATGCTGGTATTGCTGCTGCTGGCTGACCAGAATGCCTTTCTGATAACGATAATGATGATTGGGATGCTGATTAAATGGAGGTCATGAATTTGAAAGAACTACTACTTAGCCTGAATAATTTCTTTTACTTTTATTGGGTATTTTCATATATCATATCACCAGTCAGCCTGGTTCATCACCAAAATATATGTAATCGCAACTTCCTAATCATGATTGCAGCATTCCAACATGGCATGTAGGCAGTATGTGTTTTATTGATTCGCTTAAAATTATTGCCACTGGTTGAAAAGCTATTTCGTTATGCGCTGAGGGCACCTTTGAAACTTGTATCAAAATATTCATTGGCGATAATAACTGCAATCTCGCTGACAGTTGGCAGATTCTAAGCGCGTCTATTTTCACCAACGATTAGCTCCAATCTTATTTAAGGATAGGATTGAAAATGAGCATCCTCGCTGATATGGTTTCAGGCTTGCTATTCTTATTCTTCACTCAGGATCTCATGTGCATGCTTGTAATGCGAACAGGGGATTTTGAGTCTTGTTCAATACTCAATGACTGAAACTGTATATGCATCTTAGGACATTTTTTACAGTATTTAAATTTACATATTAGAGATGATGAATAGGCAAATTTAATAAATCGCTGCCGAATATTGGCAAGACAACATTTGCATATATATATATATATATATATCACCATAACATAATAAATTTATAGTCCCTAGACACTTTTAAAGCCTCAAAAAGGAAAGAAGTTGATCTAACAAGTATTTTGATATACTGGCATTTATGTAGACCAAAGAAAATAGCATGGCTAACGATAATACTATGTTTTTATCACCTACTTTCCATACGCTTCAAGGGCATTTACTACTGTATTGCCTTCATGATGAAAAGGGCATTTGAGTTTGCCAGCTGGCCCCACCAGCCAAAATTAATTCAAATCCAGACTCACAGTCTGTTCCAGATTGGACAAATCTTAAAGATTTTCGACTCGATTGAACTATTTTTGCAAGCTCGACTAAGTAAAGTCTGACGATCACCCCATGTTTCCTTAAGCTTTCTTGGAGTGCTTTTCAAGGTGCATCCAATGGTACCAAGTAATATAGATGTTTTGAATAAACTTATCGAATGATTTATGAAAATATGAAAAGAGGTTTCTGGCCAAAATGTCGAAATTTTACATACCAAAGTCCCACAAAGATAATTTCAGAGGTTACTTTGGATCGATAGAAACATTTTTATTTAATATACACCATAGTAAAAGTCTTCATTATCAAGGTCAAAAACGCAATCGTTTGATTTTCGATGAAAACCATGAGGGGTACCTCATGCTTTTTGGTCGAATTTCATCCATGTTTTTTTTGATCCCAAAAAGTTGAAAAACGGTGTCAGAAAGTAACTACCAGACGAGAGCAATTGTTTGGTGCTATTCTGACGATCTAAAACGGCCTTGAGCGCAAGAAAACGCAGTTCAAGTGCACTCAGATTTTGATGTATCAGGAACACTCTTGACTAAAAAGGGATAATATTTGTATGCTACTTGCCCGTATATGAAGTAATTCCATGTATATGGATGTAGAGCATCACATAAGAATCAGATCCACAGATAATATGAAGGGGTTTCATGTGTAAGTGGAGGATCAAAATGAAAGTAGCAGTATTTTGATAAGATACGCAAGGGCAATCGGCAGCGTGAGCTGCCGCTGTGCAGGTTGGCTTTCATCAAAGGGAAGGGAAGGTAGAAAGCCATCCGAAGCTTAAACACTCGTATATATAGTATATAAACAATGTGAAGCAATGGCAAGCTAGACCTCAAGCATATGCGTTTTCATAGAAAGAGACAAATGTGAATGTATAACATTCTGTCTATTACCAATCAATACACGAAATGTTGCCCTCAAAGGCCATAGATATGAAGTCAATGGTTGATCCATAAGAATTTTTAAGGTGATCCATATCAAACCTGCCTAAATCATACACATTTAACAGACACTAGAGTTATCTGATCGCTGCTTGAACACATGTAGATTCCCCTCACCACAGCTCTACTCCGTGACTCAGTATCATGTCTGTGGCTTTTATTAAGTCCAATTTGAAGGGAAAAGTGCAAATGTCCAATTTTTTTTTACTATTCTCCATCCATCACCATGTCAAACGAAAGCGACGTAAAGAAGAGACGTGTGGAAAACGGCACCAAGAAAGCCAACAATCACTCCAAAATCTACCAACCTTTCAGAGCCATCGGCTATGTCACCAATGAGATTCCCTATGTTATCAACAATCATGGACAAGAATATTTTTTGACATCTTGTGTTGGAAGCAGCTTTCAGACCTACAATGTAAACCATTTGGATATGCAATGTATACCATGTACATGCTAACTCGATTGATTTATTAGCTCGGCAAAATGAACTTGTTGTTTGTCAGCACACCTACACCAAAGCCTATAAGCGCAATGGCCACTCACAAAAAGCTGATTTATGCTGCAACCGGTAATTGTGTCATTGGATACAAGCGAGGCAAAGAAATCACTCGAGTTGGAGGACAAGGCGACTTTAACATCACACAGATCCTGGTTTTGGGTGCCTATATTGCTGCACTTTGCGATGACAATACGCTCAAATTATGGGATACTACTACAGGAGGTAAAACGAGATGTATGCCTGATACTATTGATCTGCGATAGCTCATCCCATGCGATAGATCTTTACACCGAAATTGAGTTTGGAGAGGAATTCACAGCTACCAACATGCTCCACCCTTCAACTTACCTCAACAAAGTCCTGGTTTCCAGCACTCAGGGCACAATGCAGATTTGGAACATTAGAACTAACAAGATGGTGTACCAATTCGCATATTTGGGATCTGCTGTCACCTGTTTAGCTCAATCGCCTGTTGTGGATGTAGTTGCTATTGGTTTGTTGGATGGTACAACCATTCTGTACAATATCAAGGCAGATGAGAAGATTGACAGTGTGCGCCAAGATGACCGAGTTACTGCCATCACTTTTAGAACAGGTATTGGACGACCTCAGATTATTCAATCTAGAGGCATGTGCTAATTTCCTTTATTGTGATAGATGATGAGCAATTTATGGCAACTGGTAACATGCATGGTGATGTTGCTTTGTGGGATCTTTCCGAACGTAGATTGGCTCATATTATGAAGAATGCTCATGATGGATATATTACATCTTTAACATTTTTGCACAACCAGCCTGTATTGGTTACTGGTGCAACTGACAATTCAATCAAGGTAAAAGAAAAGGCGGCTATGTTATAAGCAGAGTATTTTAACCATATCATTTTCCAGCAATGGATCTTTGAAAAGCACAATTCTGTACCTCATCCTTTCAAATCTCGCAGCGGACATCATGCACCTCCCTCCAAACTTAAATACTATGGCGAAGGACTCAAGACCATTTTGAGTGCTGGTCGGGATCATTCGCTCCGATCATTCAGTACTGTCCGAGATGCACAAAACTTTGAATTTTCACAAGGGCATCTTGCTAGAAAGGCCAACAAGCGCGGCATCAGTATGGACGACTTGAAGCTACCCCAAATCATTGATTTTGATGTCAATGATGCTAAGGTAAAGGATTGGGACAATATCATCACTTGCCATGGCAACGATAATGCCTGTCGCACATGGTCATCGAAAACAAAGAAACTGGGAGCCCACACTATGATCAGCACAGACAAAACAGCAGTGAAAGCAACCTGTATCTCGTCTTGCGGTAATTTCGGCTACTTAGGCTGTGCGTCTGGTGTAGTGGACATGTTCAATATGCAATCTGGACAATACCGCAAGACATTTAGTGGACACAAAAAGCCTATTACAGGTCTAACAACAGATACCATTCACCGTTACTTGATCACAGCATCAGTTGATAAAACAATTAAAGTAAGTCGTTGTATACATCTGGAAATCTCTAGTGTGTGAAGTCTCATTATCCATCTTGCTAGATTTGGGAGATCAAAACCGCAAAAGTTGTGTACACGATTGATCTCGAATCACCCATTGTATCTATCCGCTATCACACAGAGAACGATTTATTAGCTGTTGTGTGTGATGATTTAGGCATCCGAGTCATTGATCTGGAAACAAAGAAGGTGGTCAGAGAGTTCTGGGGCCATAGAAACCGTATCACAGATTTTGTAAGTCGCATCACCCTGTACTCACAGATAGAAATTGAGCAACTCATGCGTTACATATAGACATTCAGTCCTGACAGTCGTTGGATCGTATCTGCTTCCTTGGACGGCACTGTCCGCACCTGGGATCTGCCTACTGGCGCCATGATTGATATTTTCAAGGTGGAAGACATTGTCACTTGTTTGGCCTTCTCTCCTGATGCAGATTTTTTGGCTACTGGTCATGTGGATAACGTCGGTATCTTCCTTTGGGCTAACCGTACTCAATATGCCAATGTGTCTCTACGTAGTATCCCCGATGACTATGAGGTGAAGCTCCTTTCATTGCCTTCCTTGACTGGCAGCGAAGATGATGAGGCTGCTCAAGAGTCAGAGGAGGACTCTGACATTGAAGAAATTGTCGCGGAAAAGACAGTGGATCAACTCACAGATAAGATGATTACCTTATCAATGGAACCTCGATCGAAATGGCAAAATCTGTTGCATTTGGATACAATTAAAATGCGTAACAAGCCCAAAGAAGCACCTAAATTACCGGAAAAAGCACCATTTTTCTTACCAACATTACCTGGAGCAAAGGGACAATTCAACCTTGAAACCGCCATTACCAAAAATGAAGAGAATCCTGATTCCAAAAGAATCAACTTTTCTCAATTAGACACAGACACTGAATACGCCAAATTATTAAGAGCAGGACACGAGGCTGATGGTCAATGTAAGTTGCGTTGCATAATGTCAATTGTACAATGTATTTACTTTTTTTGTTGATAGTTAATTCCTTTGTGGAATATGCCAAATCTCTCAGTCCCTCTGCCATTGATGTTGAAATCAGATCATTCAATATTGATGGAGAACTCTTGCTCTTGAACTACTACTTAGAAGCCATCTTGTACATGTTGACCACAAGAAAGAATTTCGAATTAGCACAGGCATGGCTCTCTGTGTTTTTAAATATTCATGGTGATTTAATTGTGGCAAACCCCATCAACCCAATCCATGAAAAACTAGAATCCATCTTGAATATGCAAAGCAGTGAATTTGGTAGATTATCAGAGCAAATACACTACAGTCTGTGCTTGATCGATTTTGCCCGTAGAACATAAGCCCTTTTTTTTTTACCTACATAAAACACAAATAATAGACCTGGAGATCTTTCTGATTTACACATGATTCGGGTCCGGGAACTAATGCTTTATTATTTTTTATTTTTACGTTTCATTTGGCTCGCTATAGTGGGATGGAATGAGTATACAACCGAGTTACATGGCTCTGCTGATGTTGAGGAGTGATGCTTTGATACAATAGGTAGTGTCTCTTCATTGCTGATAAACCATCTCGTCAAGAAACTGCTTTTCTCAGCAGATGTGGAATAGGATGTAGGTGCTACATCTGCTGTACTACTTGATAAACTGCTACTACCGCTCGAGCTTTTATCACTGCTACTACTGCTTCCGCTGCTATTACTTCTTACAAGACGCTGCTTTTGTTGCTGTTGATCCGATCTCAACGATGGTATATTTGCAGATTGACTTGATTTTGAAGCGACCAGCCGCTTGAATGATTCTTTTACCGGGTCTTCGTAACGACGAACATTGCGGTATTCTCGGTTCACTCTATCGAGCTCCTTTGTCAACCTCTTCATATTCTGAGGGTGATCCAGATAGTTTCTATCGTTTGTCAAGAACGATAGCCTTTGCAGTTGCAACTTGTGTTGGGTTCTACTCAACTCAGATTGATGTTGCTGTTGCTGTTGCTGTTGCTTCATGTTGTTGCATCTATCTTGTAAGATAGCACGACGATAGATGTGTTGATCTTCATTGAATGGAGGCATATCGCAAAACAAAAAAGAGGAGAAAAGAGAAAGGTAAAGTAATGACTAAATGCGAATGACCATTTTTATATGATATAAATCAGAGAAAAATATAGTAGAGCAAGCACATGATGTTTATGTTTGTCTGTGTTGACATTAATGTAAAGGCCAAATCTACCAAATAGAGTCGCACTTGGTGTTGTGTTTCCCATTGTCGCCTAATGAGGAAACTGGCGACATGACCTGTTCGCATGAGACTGAAAGGAAGCACAAAATGGGTCCTTATTTCTTGTTTGAAAATCCCGGCATCACACTTCATGGCCTTTCTGGTTTCTTATTTCTGTTGATGTCATGCAACACTGGTGGTCTCTATGAATTGTGAGCAGACAGAGATACTTATATTTACAAGTTGTTGCCATAGAAAAGCGCTATTTATTTTGAAAAACTTCCTTTATTGCATTTATCAAACATTAGTAGTAATCATGCTCTTTCTAAACACACACAACATTCGCTAGACTATAATAGTATCAAAGCTAGAACATAGTGTGTGCTAATTTTCATCAAGCCGTTTAACAGTGATGAAGCGTTATAACAGTCTGTGGTCAGTAGTAGTTCATCCACAAGATGTGGGAAGTAAGGATGCATCTTTATTTTCGTATTTCTGAATGATTGTTTATGTACGTTAGAGCGCTTAGTTAATTAGTTAATAGAATCAAAAAACATGAATTTCAATAATTTGATATTTGATGAATTCCTTCTTTTCAATACTATTGCTTTTTTTAAATGGCTATTTCATATCTTTATGCTTTTTTCTTTTGATTTATGGTGAGTGTTACATTCGTTGAGATTTACATCTATTACTACAAACTTCTCCGTTAACAGAACAAGTAGAGAGTTATACTGCACATAAAAAACATAATACTGTTTCAAAATTTAGTTGCTAGCTGCACAACAACCAAGCTTTAGCTCATCGCCCAAGTTTTTAAGAGAAAGAATTGGGCATTTACGGCCTGCAATTGTAAGTAATTACGAACTATGAATCAATAGAGTAGGTGTTGGGAAACGCTGTAGTGAAAACCGCTTGGTATCATCTTGCTTCGCTGTGGTTCGGCAAAGGTTCAAACCTGTGCTGCGCATTTCCGCAAAGTGGAGGATTGCTTTTCCACGCACCATATTGATACTAGACACTTCATATCATAACAAATATATGCTCACTTTAAGCGGTTGCGAAACATTTAAATGGATTTCCAATAGTTACATTGGTTGTCAAATAACTAAGCAAGGAAACTGTAACGAAGATAATATATTAAAAGACAGTGTTTGGACGACGCTATTATTTGTTCAAAAACTGTCAACTCGACCTAGTTTCTCCATTAATAAATCTTGTTCTTCTGTGTTTGCTCTACAATTATAGCCTTGTTTGGGCACCTAATGCAACGCTTTCCTTCAAAAATTGGATATTCAGTCTCCCAAGCTAAAGTATACAGTGGCAAAGACACGGTTTTTGTTTAATAATAACACCATAGAAGCGTCCATAATGTGCTCAAGTCTATAAAATAAATCCAGGGCGTATATTCGCTAATGTTGGTGCACAATAGAAAACTTATATGCGCCACTACTATAGTAAAAAATACCGTCGTTTGAGCAATTGATTTTGGATAAGTTGCCTTTTCGGCAGTGTAGCTCCGTGAAATCATTCCAACCTGATTTTAATACAGTCTGTGGATGTCGTCTCTTGTATCATAGGAGTTGTACATATTACGGGTCTCTATTCGCTCAAATTTGTTACAAAATTGCGTTATTTGCTCCTCCTCCTCCTCCTTCTCCCCCATTGTGCTGACAACGACTCAGCGTGTCAGGTATCAGCCATTTCTCCTGAATTATGATTCTCCACCTTTGCGAATAGACTCTAAGCCTAGTTTTACGGCTAGATGTGGTATATTTGTTGTGGATGACCATCAAAAATATCCTGCTGACCTGATGAGCATCTAATTCAATTCGAGCAAGTCATTAGCTTCAAATTTGCATAATATTATTGACGCTCAAGTGTTAAGATTACTGTAATCGCGCATTTCAAAAAGCAAGATCTGAGCCTTAGAATTGGAAAAAAGCGCTTATTACTTGGAAATTGAGTTCTGTATAATGCAGAACATCTGGGCCATCAGAAGGAAGTGTGATTCACTTACTCTTCTGGCAATGCAATCCACTACACCGTTGTTTTAGGTCGAATTCTGTCCAAATCTAGCCATTTTCATGCACGAATAACTCATGCCACAAAGTGTTTTAAGCGCTTGGAATAGCACCACACGCCTCCTCTTGGCCACGCTTTACTTGCTGATGTTTTATCTCAATTTTTTTTTTGGGTCGTTGCAAATTCATGAAAATCATCATTTTTCCATGAGTATATGCAAGGGAAAATTCTTGAAAATCAAACGGTCGCGTTTTTCACGTCAAAAGGGAAGGCTTTTCCTATGATACATATTAGATCAAATTAATCGTAAAGATGAAATGCAACATTGGAAACTCTTTTTATGAGACTTTCATATGCTAAATTTTGACATATTCACAGAAAACCTGTTTTCATATTTCTGCAAATTGCTCATTATTTTCGGTCTATAAGCTGGATGTAATTAACACCATTCGATGTGGCTTTTTTAGTTCTCTAGAGATGTGCTAGAAAGTTGGGTGTGATAACGATAGTTTTCATAGTCAAATTTAGCAAAAACGTTTAAATGATGTGAGATCAAGTCAATCTTGAACACGAAAATACCACTGCACAGTTTCAAATTAAGTTGCCGCAATTACGACTACTACGGTACAAAACTGAGACTAAATTTACTAGTCGTGACGTCGGATAGGGTGCCCTCTCATTTTTCCATGCCCTCCCTTTTTGCAAAACGCGTTTTAGTATCAAACCATGGTGGTTTTGGACACCGTTTGATTAATAATAACACTCTAGCATCCGATAACTCTGTCTTGTACTGTTGGAAGAACTTGATACTGCTTCTTTGAAGTGGAATATATTAGGTACCATTCGATAACGAGCACTGGAAGGCGTAGAATTAGCACTAGTTGAGTTTGTTTATTAGGTTTTAATAATTTTTTGCTTGCTTGAGTGAGTGCCGTTGCCATTACTTCTCTGCCATCTCTGCTGCCTGCTTCTTGGGTCTTTGTCTGGTCTCTCCTGGTGGCGTTCGTACTTCGGTTTGTCTATGGTGCTGGTGTTGCTGCTACTGCTACTGCTAATAGGTTCGTTTCTGGTCTACTGTGTTTGGTGCATGCTTATTCTCTATCTGGTGTCGCTCGTTCTTTGGTTTGTCTATGGTGCTGGTGTTGCTACTAGTACTGCAATTATGGTCTTTTCTGGTCTACTGTGTTTGATGCATACTCGTTCTCTGGTCTATATTCGGTGATTGCGTATCTTCTGGTCTATCTACGGTGATGGTAAGTGGTAAGTATCTTTTCTCTTTTGGTCGCAATGATATAAAACTTCTTTGAACGTTTGTATTATTGCTTCCTTTCTCATGATAATGCATTCATGATGTTTTCCTTGTTGCATTTTTCTTATTCTTTTGTTGGTTGTGTTGCTTTACATCCGACTATTACCATGCATGTTGCTCATGTATGCATTTTTGTTGCAACAACAACGAGCTGTTTTGAACGTCTCTGATGTTGTACTTGTTATACTTTTCTTTTGAGTACTCACTTTGTGTGAGTATCCATTTTTGCCTACATACTACTATACTCCTATAGTAGTATGTTCTTTTCTTCTTTCTTTTATTATTATTATGTTTCTTTGAAGCATACCTTTTTTTTTACGTTGTGTGGATGTGCCTATCCCTGAAGCTCAACAAGACTCTATCCGAGGCTAGGAGGTAGATAGGCTGCCTTCACTTGGTTATCACTACTTACTTTAGTGATGATTGAGGGTCTCAATGCCGGAATTTAAAGCTAGGTGATGTAAGTAAGGCATGCTCTAGCGCCTGGGGGAAGTTTGATGATAGCAGCGGCTATATTGCTATTATAGCGGCGCTTAAAATTTTGCCTCACCTCAAAACAGGGGGAAACCCTCGCAAAAATTTTTTTAGGTCAGCGGAGTTTTCAAGCAATCTGATTGGCTCAGAGGTTCAGGAACCGAAGGTTTCTAGCTAGTTGATCTCCTATTGAGCTGTCATCTATAATGAGTTTATATTTGTAATAAAAAGGTAGCAAAATACATGCAATTTATATTCTTCTTTATTCAAAAGTGTGATAAGGTGCAATCATTTGATCTAGCATATACCAAAGAGTTCTATAAGAGTGATGTTCTTTAAATTTATTATTATTATGTCGTGTGGGGGGGGGAAGAAAGTTATGTTGTAATAATAATAGGTACTACAGCAATATAATAATAGCTACTGCCAACAAGCATTCTCAGTACACAATGCTTCACCAAATATGCATTCTGTTTATCATTGATTCACAACATGTACATGCTTTAATTTCATGCGTTGCTATTTTCCAACCTCGTATCAAATTCTGAATGTACAAAAGTGTTTCCAATTTCAATGTTAGGGCCATCCAGAATTAAATTTTAAAATACTGTGCTACAGCTCTAAAAGTAACCCATTGCTCATCAAGCCAAATGTCACAAGGGGAGAAACGATGGTGTGATTGGATTCTAGAATGAGTGAGTTGTTGTTGTTAAGAAAAGATTTTGAAATTCTAATGAGAGACATTTTGAGCAAAGATCTATGTATAAAACCTATTGAAAGCAGTTAATTACAAATAATTACGAGCCATAGGTCAATGAAGTAGGTATTGGAAAAGGTTCTAGTGAAAATAGCTTGGTGATATTTTGATTTGGTGTGGTTTGGCAATGCGTTAAAGATGTGCTGTATGTAATGAAATAGCCACCCAAACGCAACTTAATTGAAAACCAAAGTTCATCAAATAGCACTCATTCAAATTCATGCTATTTGGATCTATTAATGAAAGCGCTCAAATGTACATCAAAAACCCATTTAAAAATACTAAAGTAAAGATACACGCTTATATCGCACATCGTGTGAATGAATCACTCCTGATCACAGTGTATTCAATCACACCCATGATGGTCGTAATAGGTGATGGTATCTTTATCCAAATAGAATTAAATCAATAACAAGCATATTCAAATATGACAACTATGCCCTGCTGCCATAGTTGCACAATATCCCAGATAAAGGATTCCATGCTTCAATAACAAACATCACACTTTAAACCATCAAGGTTACATTAAATCATGCTATGACGATAGCTCACCCAAGCCCATCAAGGTTACTCAAATCGACCCTTATGGCCAGTGCTCCTGCATTGACTACCACTTTAAATCAAACATCAACAACATTTGCCAGATATCGCAATAGCAGCACCTATTGCTCTCTATCATCACTAATTCTACAAGCCAGATGCAAATGTATAAATACTCTTCTTTTTTTTACTCAATTCCAGGATCTTCAGTTCATTTTATACACAAAATAAAATACAGTTGATTTCTATTGTATTTTACTATTGCTTTATTTTTTTTTGTGAAATCTATTTAAACCTGATTTCACTGCACTGTACATTTCAGCAAAAAGAATAATTAATTTTTCACACATCATGTTGATGCTAGACACTTCATATCAGAACAAATATATGCTCACTTTAAGGGGTGGTTGCTAAGCATATCATCGGATTTTCAGTCGCTGCATTCGTTGTCAAACAACCAAGTGAGGAAAGGGTATAGTAACCAATATATATAAAAACGCTACTATTTGGTTGAACTACCAATTCAACCGGGCTTCTCTATTAATTGAATTTTGTTCCCCTTTGCTTGCTCTATAGAAGGCTATCTCGTTTGGTCATCTACAATGCTTCCTGTCAAAAATCAATTTTTTGGCCCCAAATTGGAGTTTACAGTGGCAAAAACACTATTTTTTTTCGGATAAACCCACTGAAGCATCTATGTGGTGCTCAAGTCTATATAATGGATTTAAGGCATGGTATGACTAATAGCAATAGAATTTTATATGCGCCCCTGTCAAAAGTTAGCCTTAAGCAATCGTTTTTCGGCTATTACTTGGCTGGGGATGAGTTATAGGGGGCTTTAGATTCTTGAGTACTAATGTTACAAATTCGAGTATATGCTCCCCCTTATATATTCTCAAAATATCTGAAAAGCAAGATTTTCTGAACAGAAGCTGTGCAATAACTTTTAAGATTTGCACCATTTCATGCACATTTTAATTCTGTAAGAGTTTGCTATGATATAGAAACAATGATTACTATTGAGAATGCTGTCTTAAAGCAATGGAAAGGTGTAGGTGTGCATTATATTGATGTCAAGCTGATAGGAGCTCTTGGATTTTAATAGAGATCTGAGACTGAACCAGCGCTAGCTCTAGAACACTAGCACAGTCGAGTGTGCGGTCGATGTTGAGCTCGCTGTGTGTCATAGCTTTCTTAACAAGTTGCTGTTTTCAAGTTATCGATGGATACTCGATATGTTTGCGAATTATGCTTCTAAGACTAGATGATTGTAGCTTGCTTTTTCCATTTCATCAAGTCTTTCAATCTAAGGTATATTTATACTACCTGCTTGAAAACGCTATTGCCATCATGTAGGTTACCTCACACACTAAAACATTCGATTGTCAAGGTGTGGCACACTTTGTTCGACTTGAATCTATGACATGTTTCACTTTTGTGGGTGCTGTTTTTTATCACATTTCAAACAAGTGGCCCCCGACAAGTTTGTGCTAGTCTGTATTCGGTGCTCAGGTTAAATCTTTCTACCTGTATATGAATTTTTCTCGCTGAAACTTACGCTGAGAATATCAAAAGAGCCAGATCTACAGCTATAGTTTGTTTATAAAGGTTTTTGCAATACTATAGGTACTGAAAAAAGTGCGGTTTCAGTACATCTAATAGAGTTTTCTGGATCCACCGCAAATACGACAAACTCGTATCGAATCTGAACGGCAATGCTTTAGCTTTGTTTGGCGGCGCTTGAAGCGACTGCTCATCACTGTCCAAATGTTGCTCTCAATGGGTAACAATACTGGCCATCTACGTAGCTTATAAAGGCAGAACCGTTGAGTAAGTTAGATCTTCAAATACTGTAGAGTATAGTGCATGCTTTAGTATGTTTCCTAAGGTTTGGATTTGTTCATTCATGCTAAATTGGGCTTCATAAGCCCCCAATCAAGCACGTTAAATCAAGCAGAAATGCTAGCATATATGTTGCCGCACAATACACAATATAAAGGCCTCTCTACCTGAGAGCAATACTCGATAGTCCGGTTAACCATAAGGCGCTGGCCGCCCCTGAATAAATGAAAAAGCCTATTCCAGAAGCTTAATATGCACTACATACACACATATACACTTCGAAATCCCTATTTAAAAAGACTCATTTGGTTGGCCAAGATTGTTTAGCTCCCTTTTTATTATCCTTTTTCTTTTTTCTTCTATCCCACATACACACACTTTACACACATATACATACACACTCTACACTAAACATGAGCTCGGTTTCTTCGTATGAAGGCAGTGATAAGGATTCTTTCTTTCAAAGAAGCTTTATTGAAGGTTCTAGTGCAAGACATTCGTATCTTCGCAAAACTGACTTATTAGATACATTGGACACCAGTCGTCTTCGTGATACAGACACTTGGAGTGTGGCAGCGACTATTGATGATCAAGAATCAGTAATTAGTGCCCATGGAGGAGGTCCGCCTTCTATTATCAGCAGTAGCCGCATGACTATGGACAGAGAAACAGATGATGATCGCTCTACTTTGGATGGAGAAGCTTCTATTCGAGACCATTTGCACGATATCCATCTCTCTGAACGTGACTTGGTAGAAAAGACACACTTGTTACGTGGAGGAGGCATGGGAAACGATGAAGATGACGACAAGCGTTCTCGGTCTAATGCTGCAGAATTTGGTGATGATGGGGCTCGTTCTGCTACAGGCGACTTTGAAAACAGCGTAGCCAGTGATGATGAGGATGAGCGTATAGTCGACGATCAAATCATGGCACCACCTCAACCACAACCTAGCTTTGCATCTGTGAACAAATCGTACGCTGAACTGATGGAGGAGAATGAGATACTGCAATCTCAGTTGCGCAATGCACAGCTCGCACAAAAGCACCAAGAAGAGATGATCAGCAATCTAAGAAACCTGACTGGCTGTGATGATGAGCTGTTTGGCAAGGCACTGAATCTATCTCAAATCAAAGAGCCAGCTGCATCAGCAGTGATTGAAAAGTCAAAAAAGGATACCAATTACTTTGGTGGCGGATCACCCTCTATGAACCCAGTGCAGCCCATTGTCAATGCTCGTACGTTGACCCAGAAATTGGCCCGATTGGCAGAGACATTAACACGATTTGTTCAGTCTACTGTGGATGAAGAATATCGATTACAACTTGAGCAAGCCTTATTTTTACAAATCACACAGTCTTACTTAAATTCACTTCCATTCGGTACAGAAAACCAGCACCTGTTAAACACAGCCTATTCTGATCAGATTCGACGATTTCACAGTACGTTGGGAGCCTACTTTGCAAAATGGTATAGAAGACAGACTGTGCAATCATTGTCACTGAATCCTGCCACAAAAGAATACCTTGCAGACATGCGAAATGGGTTGACTGCAGAGATGATGAGATTACTGAGTACAATGCCCAAAACTTCAGGCCGATCTTTGGATCATATGCATATTTGGGACGACATTCTGGAGATGTGTGCTGCTTTATCGCTTGAAATCCATGGTGGGGATGCTGATGTTACTGCTCAGTCGATTGCTGTAGGCAGTAGCTACGATGATCAAGTCATGGCTTTGGTTGGTCCCAATACCACAACTCAGGGTAAACACGTTAAGATGGTTATCAGTCCATTGTTTGTAGATGAAGAACAGGTCGTCTTATTGCCTGCAAGAGTCACTCTTGAATAATTGATACTTTTGGTGACACCATTGCATAAATGAATAAATATATGCTTTTTCTCCCCATCAAGTGGCAAGTGTTCTTCACAAGGTGATGAAGAGGTCCATTTTAACCTACATGTGCTGCTATTATTTACAGTCTAAATGCTTACAAGCTACACTCCTGAACAGACATCGCAGATAACATAGATCATGTAAATCCTAAACAGGCATCATTGCCTAACCACTTGACTAATGCTTATCATGAAAACGTAACAAGACATTGGTATTCTGGTCAAATGCTTGATGTGGTTCTCGATCACCAATCATTGGCTATCAAGCAAAAATAGAGCGGACAATCGATTGTTGGCATGGCAACAGCCCAAGCACTGCATAAAAGAGAGAGTATAAAATGTGTGTGCGTGTTGTGTGTGGAACTTGACCTTTTTTCTCTTGTTTTTCTTCATCCAAATAACTCCATCATGTATACTCCTATTCCCTGCCAATGTCCATTGGATTTTAATGACAATATCAAAATCACAGACGCAGAAAAGAAGCACAATGAAGGAAACAAGACTGCATATGTCGTATACACTATCAAAACAGCAGAGGTAAAAGATGATGAGTTGGTCTGGGAAAAAAAAGCATAGGTAATGAAACTTGAACGTAGAATAAGGAAGCCAGACGAAGATACAGCGAATTTGAGTCCTTTCGAAGATCGCTAATGAATCTGTACCCTACACTGCTTATACCGCCTATACCTGAAAAGCATTCTCTTGGTAGGTTAATGTGTTCCATGCAACACAATTTGACACTCATTCTTGGCATCCGTATTAGTAAACTACACTACACAAAACATCAAGGACGATTCAGCAATCATAGAAAAGAGAAAGCGCATGTTGGAAAGGTTTCTGTTGAGATTAGCCAAGCACCCTATTCTCGTCAAAGAGCATGTTTTTCACCGCTTTCTCAATGGATCTTCAACTTGGACAGAGATCCGTCAATCCAGCCCCTTATCTGATTTGCCAAAAGATCCACTACTACTAGCCACTGAAAGCAATAGATTTACAACATCCATAACCAGCAGCTTGCCCACATCCACCAACGTCATACCCATCCCTTCTACCTCATATACGCTCAAATATCCAGACAAAACGTTTGAAGAATCTGAACAAAAAGTAGGCAAAAGTGCTCAGCAATCGACATTTCAGTTTGAAAAGTCTCAGAAACGCATACTTCGACGCCTTGGTGGTAAGATGCGACTACGCAAGAGTGAATTGCATGCAAACTAAAACAAACACATCCTAGACTTGTCAAATGATTATGCCGAATTAGGATCAGCGTATAATGCACTTAGTCTGAATGAAACAGGTTTACTGGCGACCTTTATTGAGAAAATGGGACAAGTAATTGATGGGACGAGTCATGCAACCAAGACGATGATCCAATCGCTGGAAATTGAGTTTGCAGAGTACGTGCAAGACTACTTGCAGTATTTGCATATAGCCAAGCAGGTACTACGTTATAGACAAATGAAGGAGGCACAGCTAGAGCTGATAGACGAAGCGATTGACAACAAGAAGATGCAGCTGCGCAATCTAACCAAAACTGAGGACGAAGCATCCAAGTTGGACTTGAAGCAGGACGGCAGTATGCAGCGTCCTATCCAGCCGGCCCACACTACTGCCATGAACGCTGCAACTGATCCGCTGGACGACAATATCGATACAGAATCCATTGAGGATGGATTTTCAGCCATCGTCAAGATAGATGATGTGGAGCCAGATACCACCATAGCAGCCGTCAACTACCCGACAAATGCAAGTGCTTCGGTACTGCGTGCTTCCAAACACCAAACCAAGAAATGGTCTTCGCCAAGGAAGCTCTTCTCGGCTGTTACTGACACGATCCAAGGCATAATGGATACAGACCCTGGACAAACAAGACGAAATCAAATCAGCAAGCTTAAGGAGGCGATTGAGCAGGTAACGTCGTTATGCAATATACATTGAATAATGACTTTGACGTATTGTCAACTGTATTATATAGCTGGAACAAGCTCGAGCTACTTCACGACAAGAGCTCAAAGACATGACCGTTACAATACAGCAGGACTTTGACAGACTGCAGGCGCAAAAGGAGGCAGAAATAAGGTACATGCTGATTGCATTTGCCAAGATACATGTAGTATACTGCGAGCAGGTGAGTACATGTGAATCAGACAAGGTAGCGTTTACGTTTACGACTAACACACTACTAGAATGCTGCTTCATGGAAGGACATACGAAATCAAGTAAAGATGTCTATGGAAAAACTATAACATTTATTTAAATAATAAAGTTCTTTTTGATTGATTGATTGATAATATAATACACGTGAGAGAATGAAGAGAGATTTAGTAGTTTTGACGCATGAATTCAAAGAAAGCAAAGTTGTCAGGATGAGCACCATACTTGTAGACGAATTGAGAGGCAAGAGTAGCACCGAAGATGGCCTTGACGTAGCTTTCAGGAACACGCTCCAACAAGGTTTCCATACCGAGCTTTTCCAACAAGCTTTGAGGGAAGGCTTGCTTCAAGACAGTGTTTCTCAAGTTGACATTGTCCCAGAGACCAGTAGATTGGAGTTGCTCAGACAACTTGACAATGGCAATAGACAATTCATCAGAGAGGATAGAGATGGGGGTACCAGTCTTTTGGTTTGCTTCCCAAAGACCTTCAAATTCAAGATTGGCATTACGCTCAATGATATTTTGGACTTCCTTGACATAGGCTTCATAGAAAGCAGGAGCAACACCGTCCTTGACACACATGTGTTCTTCAAAACCTGCATCATCGAAAGCGAGAGCAGCCAAAACTTCCAGAGAGGAAGAGGTGACACCACCCTTGTTGGCAGAGGCATCCTTGAAGAGAACTACACCAGCATGTTCGAGACGGAGACGAGCTTCTTGAGTAATGAACAAGTTGGCACCTTCAACAATGTACTTGTAGAGACCATTTTCAATGACTTGGTTGACGTTATCCAAACCAATAGATTCAGGACGACCACCGCAAGGAACGAGGATACGAGAGAGAGCAAGAGGGTTGGTGTGGAAAGTGTTACGGAAGGTAAGACCGTTCTCAACGACAGTACCATCAGGCAATTTGACATTGTCTTCATCAACAAGGACACGGAAACCTTCAGCAGAGAGCTTGGAGGTGTCAAAGTTGCTGATCATAATACGAGCATTGGCCAGGCGAGTCAACTCGGTGCGGTCAATACCAACGGGGTCATAAAGGACACCAGAACCATCAACAATGGCAATAGTCTTATCCTTGGAAATCTTGATTTCGTTGGAACCGAGATCACCATCAGGGCCACCAGTTTGCACCTTGGTGATTTCCTCTTCCTTCAAACCAAGCTTGCGATAGATACCCAAAGCATATTGATGAACAGAGCGAGTAGTCATACCGTATAAATCATGGGGAATACCACCGAGAGATTGACTCTTACCAGTAGTAAAGGCCTTCCAGAAGCTAGCGCCTCTTCTGCGAGCATGTTGAGAAGCCCAATCCATGTATTCAGCAGTTCCCTCATCAGGACCAAAGAAGAGAATTTCAGGCTTGTCAGTCAAATCAACCAACTTGTCCTTGATACCAATGGTTTCGCCAGCAATCAATAAATCAAGCATGGCATCAACATACTTTTCAAAGGCAACCAGAGGCTTGTCTTGTTGATCGACATCCAAGAGAATAGTACCCTTAGAGCCACCTTCAGGAATATCCTTGTTCTTGCGGTGTTGAGTGTTGGCCAAGTTGTAATTTTCATCAAACAAGGTACGCAAGTTGATAGAGTAGGCTTCTCTGTTGCGAGAACGGATCATACGGATACCACCACGGGCGACATCACTGAAACGAATGTGAAAACCACGGAACTCAGAGCCAACAACCAAGAACAAACCGTAAGGAGTGGTGGGGTATTCGATTTCAGGCAAGAAGCTAGGATCCATACGGAAAGAGAGTGCCACCTTAGTGGTTTGATAAAAGTTGGTCTTGAGGACATGCTTGTTGAAGCTCAAGAAGGACTCAAAGACCAATTGCTCGTGAGCATTGGTGGTAACAGCCTTAATACGCTTGCTAATATCATCGACAGACAAGACTTCCATGTTGGTCAAACGTTGGTAAGAGATGGTAGGTTGCAAAGAAGCTTCACGTTGGTTGACATAGTGGGTGGTGGCAAAGTTGGCGTACAGCACCTTGAGCAATTCGGGGTATCTCTTCATGATATCGAGGATGTATTCACGAGTAAAGGTATCTTGACGAAGACGCTTCTTCAACTTGCTCAAAACTTCTTCGTGCACAGGGTTGGCACGGTCCAAGATAGATGTCAAACTCAAGTACTCCTTACCCAAACGATTCAAAAAGTGCTGAGCAAAGATCCAGCCGACATAGCCATAGACCATCTCTTGGACAGAGAGCTTGTTGGTTTGGAAGTATTGTTGCAAGGGAGTCTTGGGGAGACAGTACAAGAGAGAAGCTTCCTTCATGACTTGGTAGATGGAATGTTCGATAGGAGCAGCCTTGGATTGGGGAACAGGGTGCAAGTATAAACCAATAATGGTAACACCGTTAGAGAATTGCTCTATTTTCCAAATCATTATCAATACACTATCATGGCACATACATATTCTTTAAATCGACTTACCAACATATTTACGAGTAGAATACAAGTCGTAATAATGGTACAAATCACTGACAGCAGAGAAGAAGCCCTTGGTGCTTCTTTGACGGTAACCAATGATAAGACGACGCTCACGAGAGCCCTTGACCTCGTACATTTCAATGACAGGTCCGGTACGTTGGAGTACATTTTGCATGACATCCTCATAGATGTTCAAAGTAAACTCAGTGGCCTTACGTAAGAAGCTCTTATCAGCAACTTGCTTGATGTCGGTTTCTTGTTCAGGAGTGGGAGCAGCGTTCTCAAATTCACACTTGGTAACAAAGTAACTACGAAGTTGAGAGGTCAAACCACCACCATTGGAGCTGGAACGATAGGATTCAACGCGATAGGCCTCAGAGGGGGTAGACTTATCCAAGAACTTGTCGTCAATGGCTCTTTCATGCTGAGGACCGTAGATTTGAGAGACACCAGGTTCAGAAGAATGAATGTAGACAGCAGAGTCTTCGGTTTCCTTTTGCAAGTTGATGTCCAAGACGTTTTCATTCTTTGTGTAGGCCAAGATCTTGGCGCCGTAGAGTGACATGATGTGATTTGAGATGGTCTCCACGCTCTCCAAAGCAAAGTAGTAGTCATCAATATTGAGGTTGCTATAGACATTCATGTCAGCAAACCCAAGATCAACTCGTATACATGGCATAATAACTTACCTATAGAACCATTGCACCTCGTTCTTCACCAATTCCTTGGGGAGGAAACCGAGCTGTTCCAAGTTGTCACAAACCTTGAGCATTTGGCTCTCCTTTTCAGCAAAGACATTAGCGGCATAGCCGCTTTCATTATTAAGAATACGAGTGTTATCCTTCATTTTGTGGTTGTGTGTTATAAAAAGTTTAGTTTTGAAAAAGAAGAGAATGCTGTACAAAATGCGCGACTATTTATATCAAGATTTTTCTTTTTTTTAGTTTGTTTAGTAGAGGCATAAGGGAATAGGCACACAGCTTCAAGAAGCGAGCCCCTGTAAGCTTTCCATTTGGGTTGTCATGTTCCATAATTTTATGACTCAGGTCATCGCCTATGATGGTAAGAATGCAAATAGCGCACTTCTTATTGGTTGGATCGTGAGAAAAATATATTTTGTATGGATTCTTGTAATTCTGTCTTTCAAACCTTATTTCAACGCTCAAATTTTCCTGGAGAAAAAGAGAATAACCCAAATGTCGTAATTTGTTTCTATTTAGACATAATCGTCTATACAATAACAGCATATCAACCCGTTCTTGGAAGCAAAATGAAACGATCATCTAGTTATATAGAGCAAGGAAATGCGGCTTGTTGTCCAGCCCTTGATTTGTCAAATGTAACGAACAAAATTTTACCCACAATCAAAATTGAGCATTTACCCACTTCTTCAAACAGCCAATTGACTAAGAACATTATAAATGCCTCCATTGGTCTAGCAAGAATAAAATGTGGGGTAACAATATTCCTGATTTACCTCCGGTTTCCCGCTTGATTTATATAGCACTCCATGGAACAGGAACCAAAATGTAAGACCCCCTACCCTAGGGAATATCATCTCCATGGAGGCATGCTGAGCAGTTATCTTAAAGACATCTGCTTAATAAGATTAAATATGTATTATCTTGATATGGCTTTGAATTTGTAGCTCTCGCTTATCAATTTATGGAATCGCTATTGATTACTGCTCAAAAAATGCCTCCTCCTCACTTCCAAAAATAACTTAACTCTCACGAATGTAGCACGAAAAAAAAAAAAAGCTACTCATCCATGAACACAGGTGGGGTTAAATGAAGATCGGCATCTAGAATTTGATGCTGATTGCATGTGTTATCAATCTATGGTTGTATTATAGACAAGCATTATATCATCCTCAAATGCGAAATCTGATGTTGGATGCGAATGAATGGTTGATTCAAGAAAAAAAACCTCTAATTATGAGCATAAATCATACAGAATTCTTTTTGTTGATATGCTCAACAATACGAGTTTCTTTGTCGAAATCTTATTCATTATCTTCAATGTTGTATAAGGAGTAAGATCTTTTACATGCACTACATTACGTATTAGTGCACGGAAGTCGAATTAATTTCTGATGCTATACCATACTTTGTCGTTCGATTGATTTTAAGATTCATGGTTTTTACGAACGAAACCAGAAAAATATATACAAATAAGAAGAAAGGTTCGGTTCCATTAGAACTTGAACACAAGTGTGTATTGGAAGGAACCCTCATATTCTTATATGTGGGTCTAGATTTGAAACCAATCCCATAACAAACAAACAGACACACGTGCTAGAGCCTGTAAGCCATCTAACTTGCAAATGGCGTTGTTCTTGGATAGACTACAAATCTCACTAGACCATTTGGAAATTTTTGTGATTTGCGGAGTAGGCATGTCAAACCCCACATCTCTAGAAATACGCTGAGCGCTAGTAGATGATGAATGCAATCAAACATGAGCAAGTAGATGCATTCTGCTCTGGTACTGGAGCTAGTAGAGAGATTGAAACTTCCTTTTGTGTTGAGATTCCCTCTTCTTGATTCTAACAGCAGATGAAATTTTTTGCTACATGAACTTAGTATTGAACTATTTGAAGTGGGAATACTATCAAGACCGCAGAGGCCATCAGATTAAACCAAGAAAGTAGAATTTTGGTATCTATCGACCAAGGTATTCGAAGTTTTATGTGCCATTCTAATTAGAGTGGCAATTTTGCATCTCGCTTTATGGATTGCATTTGAATAAGGCAATTACAATCATTCAATCTATCAAACAAAATAAATTGTAGCAGAATTATACTAGAAGTAGCCAACCTAAGCTCTATTCTGTACTTAGCAAGCCGTAACTATGTTCGAATGAGTCTCCAACAGTAACGATTGCTCTCAGCATGAGGGTGGCAGCCATAATTAATTAAAACTCAAATTATTTTTTCTCCCTCGAAATGGCAATTTTTTGTCCTAAATCGATTTAGACAAACTATTTTGTAAAATTAGACCATATAAGTCGTCATGATCATCCCATACTTTCTAATGCATTCATAAAGTACTTTTCAAGGCGCATCCAATGGTGCTAGTTATAAGGTTTTTTTTGAACACATTTTTTGAGCAATCTTCAAAGATAATAAATAGCTATTCCGGCCAAAATGTACAGATTTTACATATCAGAGTCTTACAAAATTGATTTCAGAGGCTACGTTGGATCGATAGAAACATTTTGATTCAATATATACCATAGTAGAAGTCTTCATTTTGGAGGTCAAAAACGCGATCGTTTGATGTTTGGTGAAAATCATGAAGTATCCCTCATGTGTTTTTGGTCAATTTTCGATGATCTGAAAAAAGTTGAACAAAGGTGTCAGGAAGTAACTGTTGGATGAGAGAAACTATTTGGTATTACTCTGTTGGTCTAAAACAGCTTCTAATGCGAGAAAACACGGCCTGAATGTGTCCGGATTATGCTGTGTTTTGCAGATGTTTGAATAATAAGAGGCAATACAGATGTACTGTATGCTCACATACGAATCGTATCCATCGATTCGCATGCAGAGCATTGTAAAAGAGCTAGATCCATAGCTATAGATCATTTTTGCAGGTTTTCTATGGGGTAATGGGCGAAGATTTTGGAAAGTTAGCTTCATGCAACAAAACTGTCTCGGAGATATGGCTGTTGAGACGATTCACAAGGAAACAAAGTGAAAGCAAGGTGGCACATACTGTGCTCAAGCCGCTCCCTTCCAGATAAAAAGAACAAACTGTGATTTTATTGACTCTAAAGTTAACTTACATTTGATGTAGGCAAACAATTAGAGCACCCTGCTGCTACTGCCTGGGTGAAAGAGACTTGGTTGGCAGTATTCAGCCCTCCCTTGAACTAGCTTATCTGTTGAATGAGGATGCAGAAATGGCCTGAAAGAGAGTGGGTGCTAGTAATATTAAGTCTGATGGAATTTTGGGTCTATAAATGTTCATTAGGAAAAGAAGAATTTAATTATTGTTGATAATAGAATTTGATAAGACTGTTTGATCATGTATATCGAATAAAGCCCTCTTTCTATCTTGCGCATTGTTGCACCCATATTGTGTTAAAAATGTATTGCCACATTTGAAATTTACTATAGCACTGGAAAGAGAAAGTCTTATCGCACTTAATTACGAATTAGAAGTGGTACGGCATCTTGAGAATTAGAATGTAAAATTCAATACAAGAATGCGGGTAAAATGACTTTAGATTTGATTAATGATTCAAGCCTGGGGGGTTATGAAAGAACGGCTCTTTATTTCGTTGGAGAGCTGTATAATCACAAATTTCTAGTATGAGCATGTCGGATGAAGATTAACCTACTGCGTCTATGAGTTTGAGAAAACTTCAGATCAGTAATGATCAGCAGACACAGATCTGATAGACTATTAGCGCTTTATGCTGCAATCAATATGCTACTTAATGTGAAAACTTCGGAGGAGGCGCTTGTTAGCCGATCAACTGTTGCCAACTATACGATTTAGGACACGAAGAACCTTTAGCAGGAGCTATTGTCACTTCGTATATCATCAATTAATAGTGGGCTGGCTCGGGCAAAAAATTGACTATAGGTTTAGGAACAATTTGATCTGCACTCGTTTGAGTTTTCATGCATTCAAAGGCATACAAGATTACATACGACAGTAATAATTCAGTGTTGTGATCCACATTTGCTTATTTACAGTATATGCTTGATCTTTGAAGGTAGATTAACCGCATCCTTTCTCTCAGCAGGTTGTTTAGAGGGAAATTTATTTGCTTTATTGAGCAATTCAAAATGTCATACTAATACAACTTATATACAATGAAACCACATAGTTTAATAAACAGTCGACATGTGGTATTGCGATTCCTCAAAATCTTTAATCTGCTGAGCATGCAATCTGTGATGTCTAGCACCATTTGATAAACGCTTAGCATAGGCGCCAACGACATATGCAAAATAGATCTATGGCGATATTAGTACCACAATCAATTAGCTCAAGACCATTAGATCTGCCTGTTGTCTATCTTACCTGAATCAACTGCACGATGAACACGATGACTCCAAATATGATAGTAAAAGTATTGATCATGCTGAAGCATGCATCCTTACTTGCCGCATGCTCTGTCAGTAATCCTGGATATTTTACTGGTGAATAGTAGGCATTGTTGTTGTTTAGCTGTGTTGGTGTGATATCTTGTTGAGCATTTCCAACGCCCACAAATCCAACTACAGAGCATGAATCGATCACATGCTGCTTGTTGAGTGCGATCAGTATAAGTGAAGCAACGTAGACAATGATTGACAGGATACAATTGACCCATACAATCACACTGAATGCTTTTGAAAATCTTCTGGAGGCCTAATTAAAGAATGTTGGTGTGATTTCAGTAATTGAGTGAGAGCGCAAAACTTACAAAAAATGACCCGATAATGCCACAAAATCCACCAAGACATATGAACACAGCGAATAGCAGATTTATGTAATACCAAGGTCTAGCTGCTTGTCCTGAGTAAAATACAATAGCTTTTGGCATTAGGATGAGTACAACGAGTAATAATTTATAAAATCAGCGCGTGAACCTACAGTTTACGCCTACAAAACCAGTTGCAGTGTAAAACAAATAGATGGCCTGAAAAGTAATTGTTATGAACAGGTGATTCATATTGCTGATTGCTACTAGAGACTTACAAAGAACCAAATAGCAATGAAAAAGGTACCCAACCGCAGTGGGATAAAACAGCAGCATTTTTCTAAACCAAGGCCCATTGTTTAAGTTGTATGATTAGGATGAATGAAAAAATGAATGTGTTGGATGAATATAAAAAGGTATTATGGTATAAGAGTTTTAAAAAAAAAAGAAAGAAAGAAAGAAGGAGGAGACAAAGGAAAGAAAACGATGAAAAAGGGAGCAAATTAACACTAAAAATAAAGCATGTTCAACAAACCAAATTAAGCTACTTGATTTGTTGAAGCATATTGAAGTTTATATTGCAAATCGTCAATTAAACTGTGTAAATGTGCATAATTGTATTATGAGTGCTTATGTATATAGCCTCGAATCAATGTATAAACTTTATCTTTGGTATATATGATCGCTTGCTCATGAAATGCTCATTGTTTCAAGCGTTTTTTTTTTGCCTATTGGTATGAGCTCCGGATCGAGAACTGTGATACAAAAATAATTAAATCTTCAGAATACAATGCTTTCGCCTTTGAACATCTCCATTGGCGTGTTTCTCAGGATCCAACTCCTGTATTTCAGTAGTCAAGACTGTGGTTTTATCACCCTTCTTCCATTGCTCAACGGCTTGTATCTGCTACTAGTGCTGACATTTCTTCGCCGTCTATCAACGCTGATACGTCTTTTATATGATCGAAAACCAAAGAAAATCCAGCACACACATTGAAACACATGAAATTAGCGTAGAATGCATTGCAAAATCAGGCACGACACATGTCCAAAGATAGTTGTATCTTTGATTGGCATCGTAGACAGCGCAGTAATCAACTTTACTTCAGGGTGTATGCTCGGCAACGCATTCTACTTCAAGTCAGCTCATCGATGATGTATTATACAAAGTATGCTTGATATTGCATCTGCATGCGATTTGATTCAGTGTTAGGTGGCAATGCGAGTCATTAATGCCCAAGAGTTGAACAAAATCTTGTTCACAAGCACATTTAGACGATAGAAAAACCTACTCTCTATATGCCTAGTGTTCCTCATCCCTTCGAGGCATCAGTTCACTGCATTAAAATCATGTATTCAATGATACATGAGCATAATCGCCATATTATCTGATTTCATGATACCACGCAACTTGATGATGGGTAAGAAGCTCAAAAATGCAAAAATACACCGAAAAAAAGGGCTGTTGCCAGGTTGCCCTGAATGCAGGAGGATGAAAGAAGGTAATCTTTGGACCAGCAAGATCCCAGTCCCAACCAAATCATCCCTTCTTACATAAGATTTCCTTTTTGATACATATCGAATTAGTCACCCAAATCATTTTCTTCCCTGATATTTCAGTTGATCCAGTACCTGCGGCTCTATTCACTGGAAAACTGTTAACTACAAAAGAAAACTTTTAATGAATCAACCAAGATGTAGTCTTCCATTTCGCATGGAACGTTCTTTCCATGGCTGTGTTGCTGAGGATATGTCATGAATAATCATCAATGTAACCGTAATCTAAGCGGAATCAAAACTGGATTGAAACAAGCAGACCATGGATAACAACGATGCAATGGTATCTACATGAGACGCACATACACACACACACACACACATGCATATCACTATTTTCTCTAATGCAGTTGGAAGATAGAGCGTGTGAGAAAATAAGCATTGACTATTTGAAAATTAGTAAAGGGTTTTCCAAGGTAACATGCCAAACAATAAAAAGGTTTTCAAATTACCATAAGCAGTAAAGGGAGATTGGTTGTTCCGAATGGTTATCCCTATACTTTCAAGGCTTATATTGCCAAAAGATATTTCTCTCTCTCACTCCCCTTTTCTCCCTTCTTCTTTTCCCTCTTTTTCATTTTGCTGTACAATGCTTCATTCATATATTAATGAACATCCAAAAGTTAGAGTACAAGACAACAGACTAGTCGCATCTGAATACATCAAATCTGGTTCAACCATACTTGTTCAACCACCATTGGCATCCGTCCCATTACCAGCCAAACGCCATCAGAGATGTAACTACTGTCTAAGAAAGGCACAGTTGCAATGCTGCTCTCGCTGCAGATCAGCATATTTCTGTAGCAACGAATGCTTTCGAAACGCTTGGCTTCATTTTCACCGAGTCTTGTGCGAGCCTCAAGTAACAGACATTTACAAAGATGTGGACGCAGATCGATGGCTATTGGAGAGAGCTGCCTTGACGCTCCATAGTCACGATCGTCTGAATAAGCAACATTCGCACTCTCCGTCCCACTTACCATTCGCTATCCACGCTCTACAGTTACACACACCCAACTACCAAGGTACACAGCAACACAACAACACCGTGGAGGATGTAGCAAAGTTCTTGGAGCCGTTCGATTGCCAGATATCACAACAAGATCTCGATACACTTTGGTATAGAATCAAGCTGTGCTCGTTTCCTATTGTGGATCCCGAGCACCACATGGATCAGGTAGCTGTCGGTGTGTACCCCATCACATCCTTGTTTGTTGGTCACTCGTGCCGACCCAATGCCGCTGTTCTCTACAAGCAAGGCACACAATCTCTCTTGACGTTGGACGACATCTTGCCTGGAGAACCTATCACCATCGCTTATGTGGACATTGTCAGCACAAAGACACAAAGAACTCAAGCGTTGAAAGAAAAGTTTGGACAGGAGTATGCATGTCATTGCACACGATGTGAGGGGGATTTGGCTATCGTGGATGTGGCTTTGGATAAAGGCGAATCGCTTAAACTCACAGAGCAAGATGGGTTGGAGTTGATGAGCAAACATATCAGATCATGGTCAGTGCTTGACATGGTAAAACACGCCGAGACAAAAGAGAAAGACAGTTGGTCACCTATCCAAGTTCTGGAGCCACCAGAATTTACTCATTTTGTGAGTCGAATCGCTGCACCCGATATTTACTTTGCTTCGATTGATGACAGAAAACGCCACACAGACAACATGTACAAAGTGTACATGAAGGAGGACAGAGCACATCTACTGCAACGTATTCCCACTGCTATGGCTGCTTTGTTGAATGTCCCAGAGGTGCCTGCCTTCACATTAGCCTCTATTCATGCGGCCGAAAAGCTGCTCGCACAACGTATATCCGAAGGCAAATGGGTCGAAACGTCTCGATGTGCCTTGTATCTATTTGTCATTTACCGCCTGATGTACCCTCCCCTTCACCCAAATCTCGCTTATCACACACTCATCTTGGCAAGGTCTGGATGGAATGCTCTGGTTGAGATGGAGTTGATTGGTGTCGAAAAGAAGCTGGAGCGAATTTACGCTAATGGCACTAGAGCATGGATCGAACTGGCTAGAAATGCCATTGATGTCACCTTTGGAAGAGAGTCAAGTCTATGGAGAGATGTCATTGAGCTCCAATGGGTCTATGAACGTGAGCGTAAAGTGAAAGGTACAGTATAAACAACAACAGCAACCAGAAACCCTCCTTGTATAACAGCAATTTCCTATTCCTAATACTTTCTAATATATAAATATTTTACGCAACGATACATTACTCTATTTTCTCCTCTTTTTTTTTCGATTATACATACAAATAAACTTGACGCTCCTCTTTAGATTCCACCCACACTAGTATAGATTGACTTGGAGGGCTTATAAACGTGGCATTGAGTAATATGATGTGGTATCAAAATTTACAATGCAATAGCATCATCCACTGTAGATGCCGACATGGATCCAGCAATAGCATTATTCAACAGCGAAAGTTGTACAACGCATCTTGATCTGGTATATACTACACTTTATTATGCTTTATTTTTTGCCACTACTATTGAACTGATACTAGCATATGTGCCAGGCTTGGTGATAAGGACGACTTGCATATATACATTGGATCTTGTGTGGTCATTTTGATACTATTATTGTTACGTGCTGTATTATGTGCTGGCCTTGGACGCTTTCCTTTCAAGTCTTGCTAAGAGGGATTTCGGTTTTATGATGACTCTCTCTTTGCTTTTGGCTTCACAAGACTCGCACAGTTCCATCAGTGTCTGCTTTGTCGTCTTTAGTACTACATTCATCCTGATAAATCAACTCTACCTGAGGTGTTTCATTAAGATGGCTCAAGGTTTGTTTCAAGTTGATAATTTCAAAGTCTTTCCTATACAACTCATAGTCTTTTTTCCATACGAGTGTCTTTATATTCCATGTTTCCTTTTTCAAAGCAACAATTCTCTTTCTCTATTTTGTAAACATCCAGATCAAGAGAGAGTGTTAGTTGGTCCAACATTGCAACATTTGTAATTATCAACTGACAAGTCTTTCCAGTTGCTTGATTTTTTGCATTTTTTTCAATTGCCTCTTTGGGTCATTTACTCTAAAAGAACGAACTTTGTACTTGCTTGGCGGCTGCGAAACGTCGTCTTTGCTGCTGTGTATCTGCTAAATAATCCATTGAAAAAGTTAGAACAGTTCCAATTGATGGCTACGTACTCTGCTCGTACCTGATAGTCATTGAGTACAGCTGTCTCTGTTGGCAGTAGCATGGTATTTGATAATCTCAATCGCTTTATATTCAGAGTGCAAAGCGAAACAATGTCAGGTGGTGGATGAGAGAGCTTGTCTTCCATGGTGAGTTTGGCAAATGAAGCCTCTGCTTCTTTAATTGCATCAAGAGGAGTATCCAAATTGTTCATTGAATTAATGGTATTTTGATCGAATCAATCCTTTGAAAAGCAGAAAACCAGGCACTGAATTCGAACGAGCATCTATTATGCCAATCACTCTATAAAGCATGTGACATAGAAGTAATAGATCTCTCTTTATGGCATGCTACAGCATGTTATTAAGGAATTTGATGCTTGATTTCTATGGACGTTATATCATTGCAAACCACACTTACTTTGACTGAGGGTCAGGACGCATGCCAGACAGTAATGCGCGTTTCTTTTCTCGAGTATAGGCACATATATCGATAGCAAAATGAAAAGAGAAAGATGTATTAGGTCAACTGGTTTACAGCCAGCAGCATTACATGAATTATGCCCATTAGCGGGTGCCAAATTCCAAAGCTCATCATAATCAAATGTTGCACATGTTGCAAAGGGATATGGCCTAAATGTGCCCATTGGTTCATCTGGAGTGCAGTGGAATGAATGACGAGAGATACCACACATCGCACTAATAAGCTTATTTCTTTCTATTACATGCTATTGTCAGAGATATAGAAACTTGATAATGAAGCATGAAAGCTTCGATCTAGGAAGCACCAAATTCAGTACGTTTACTAGTTGTATCTCATTGATTAGAATAGCTATCAAAGAGAATGGCAAGATAGTGGGCTAGCATATGCAGAACATACTCCATCTAGACATAGACAAAGGCAAAGCACGCCATGAACGCATTTTCATATATAAAAGCAACAACATTTTAACACTACAGCAGCATCTTTTACAGCGTCGCATGAATTCCGGATGAATTTGAGTGAAGTAGCTACTCAAATGAGAGTAAGTTCATCGTTTCACGGTGAAGAAAAACCTTGATAAAGAAAAATCAAGGTACCATTTGACTCTGACTGGTTACAATGGAAGAGCGTGTGTCAATCTGTAGAGCTATATTGACATGTGAATTTCAAGAGGTATAGTGTCATTCACCGAAACAAGCTGAAATCCGGGGTAAAAAAAAAAAAAAAATGATTGTTTGCAATGTATATAATTACCTCCTTTTTTTTTATATCTTTTCTCACTTCTTCACCTTTTCTTACTCTTCTCTCAATGTTGGATCACTTGGTTGGAAAGCCATCATCAAACTTTAAGCGAACTCAGATCATCTTGACCTTACTATTCGGGTAGCGTAAATGGAAGAGACACAGGAAAAACGATTCAAGAAGACTCATTTCTTGTATCAGAGGATATTTTGCTGTTTGTGGAAAAACAAATCAGCTGCCTCAATTTATACAGAAATTAAATAGGAAAGCAGGTACTGTGTGGTTCTCAAAGTTTGCAACAACAAACAAATAACACCTTTACAAAAGGGCAAGCCCCGTGGAGAGTAGCCTTGGGAACATGGTTGCTCTTTTACCTGTCTCAAAACATACTACTGCTAGTTGGCTTGAATGGTGAGAGGTGTTTGATATCCATACCAGAATACACACTGATCTCTTTCTAAACTCGCATACACAGCTCCGGATCCTCTATCAAGATTGGTAAGTCCATCAAGCATGCATCCTTGAAAGCTTAAATGCTGATCAAATGTGGTTGCTGTAGTACAAGCGAAGTTTTTATAGGGCAACTTGGATTCTGACAGCCCTTGATGCCGGTTTTTTCACTGCAATGCCGTTCAAGCCTCTGTGGTTGAGACACATTCTATCCCTCGTCTTCAGTGCTTACTATCTTGTGTTTGCAGATTCCGCAGAGGAAAAGGTGCGCAAGACTCGCTCAACGATATCGATTGAGCAAATGCGAACATCTTGGGAGAAAGTGCATCAGAACCCTATCCTTGGCTTCATCTCCAGCTTGCTGCGTCCACGTCTGTCTATTCATGACATTATCCACGTAGATAGACCACCCTACAACTCTGGTTTGCCTCACATTGAAGTGTACCGCTATTATACCAATCCATCTGCCGCATTCGCAGATCACGATACCATTTTACTACAATTTCCTGGCGGTGGTTTCGTTTCCATGCCTCCTCCTTGCCATGAAGATGCGTTGGCTGCTTGGGCCAAACACACTGGATTTCCTGTATTCAGTGTCAATTACAAGAAGGCACCAGAATATCCCTATCCTTGGCCCATTGACGAGTGCTTCGATTTATACATTGCCATCATTCAAAGTAATGGCCGAGTTCTTGGCTTGTCAGGTGAAAAGAGCATACAAATCATTTTCATTGGCGATTCTGCGTAAGTGTGGATAAGCACGAGCATTGCATGCGTTGTTATTAACATAACGCAGAGGTGGAAATATAACAGCTGCTGTGACATTGAAGATTCTCGCCCATAACCAGCAATTGGCCCTCAAAATCAACCCAACAGCCACACTTTCCTCCACATCAACGGAGAGTGTTCCAGATACCATTAGCATGACGGCTTCTCAGCATGTACTGACCACAGTTAAAAATCCATTAGACTCACTCTTGCCTGTGCCAATCGGTTTAATCCTCATTTACCCTGCACTTGACTTTGAAATGTCCTGCTGGATGTCGCCCTCACAGCTATCGCTTATTCGTGCTGAATCCAATACCGCTTTATTCAGATCAAGCTCTTTGGACTCTTTATGGCAGACAAAAGATCATTTGAGCCATGCTAGCCCCTTAAGTGTTGTTCCTGACTTGGAAAAGAAACAAAGCTTATGGCGACGTGTATTAGGTCTGAAGCCTACGCTCAAACAGCGCATGGCAGATCGTGCTCATCCTATTCGAGATCAAATTCAGACCAAAGAAGCCTGGGCAACTGCTCGATTGGCTATGACAAGTCGAATGAGCTTCTTTAATGATCGAATCATTACACCAGACTTGGTAAGTCTACTGAATGTAGCAAAGGAATTGTAGACAATGAAGCTAATCAGCGTTTGTAGATGAGAGCAATGGCTATCTGTAAGCATTTTGTAGATATATATATATATATATATATATATAAAGATGGATGCTAATTCATTGATTATGTAGTGTATCTGGGTCCTCATGCTTCTCCCGATTTCGAAAACGATTACCTATTGTCTCCAGTGCATGCACCTGAAGATCTACTAGCACAATTCCCCAAGACATACATGATATGTGGTGAGAAAGATCCACTCGTAGACGACACTGTGATTTTTGCAGGCCGCATTAGACAAGCCAAGCGCAAATATAGACAAGATAACCCCCTGGATCAAGATTACCCTACACATGATGGCGTCCGCGTCAAGTTCCTGGAAGGCATGAGTCATGCATTCTTACAAATGATGCCATTCTTACCCGAGGCTCACCAAGCTACCAAGACCATTGGTGATTGGGTCATTGAAGTAGCCAACACGAGCCATCATGTCAAGAGCGATCATCATGTCGCTGAAATCATCACCAGTGAAAAAGATATGATTCACCGTAGAAAGCAACAATTAGTTAAAGGGCTGTTTTAAAAAAAAACAGCTATTTATTTTTTTTTTAATCCAATTCCATCTTCATGAGTTTATTACTGTCATCCAAAGTCGCTGAGAAATCATCTTCAGAAAGGCGACGCTTGGGCTGTGTGCGATCAATCAAATACGTGTCTGCATGGGCCATGTCCTTGTAAAGTTGTTGAATAAACTCGGGTATGCTGTGAGTTGATTGCATTTGCTCAGTCATTTTGGCCTCATCAAAGATGGCAGGATTCCAGCGTTGTGATTTGGCATGGCTGGGTGCGTGTAAGCGGACAGTAGGCTTGGTGGGATTGTCAAGGGGAATATCAATGGAGATAGGCACCATAACAAACAGTTGATTAGGCAATGGTGGTGGTGATAATGTGATGAAGATTGTATTTGGGGCATCTACAGTTGTAATCTCGAGCTTCATCGTTTTGTCCTTCTTGCTCTCTGTACAATTAGAGCAATAGTTAGCCATAAATAGCTCTACCCAACTTTGTATAGCAGCAGAAGCTTACCTGCCAAAATGTCTTGCAGAGAGAATGCCATAGATGTGCCGTTTTGTTGATTTTTGTATGTATTCACATTAAAGATACTCTTGAATAGCGTATTGAACATTTGCTGCTGACGAAGACATTGTATCACATTGTATATCTGAACAGGGTGCTGGAATGGGATTCTGGATACCATTTTAGCGCTAGTAGGTGAAGATTTCATCCATGTGTATGATTGTTCGGGCATGTCGTCAAATGACTATTACAAGACCTGTTGGTAAGCCATCTCTTTTGATAGAAAGCTCATTACTTACGGATATCCAGTTATTCGAGAATGACACAGTATCAGCAACATCCATGACAAGCAGATCTTCCAAAGACATGGTCGAGGGGTTGTATGGTACTTGCGACACTGTGTCCAGACTGGATAACCCAGTGACATTCATCAATTTCTGGCACACTTCATCCGACACTGGCACAGGAGGATCTAATGTAGCAACATATCTAATGGGTATAGATTGACACTCTGGATGTGTTGGAAGCGCTTTTATAAATTTGAAGTGAGGCATGAATACTGGTGCTGCTGTTTCTGTCACAACCTTGAAATGCTCTCTGTGGTAAAGCCAATCAATATCTGCTAATAGTTCCCTTTTGGATCTATACACTTACTGGTCAATAGAGTCCTCTGAATCACTGCCTAGTAGACATGAAAGTCGAGATACTGGTAAATATGTCACAGGCTGAATAGAATCTTCAAACGAAAGTAGCAAGCGAGATGCCTCTGCTAATGCTGCATGACTGATGCCTGTTTCAAATGCTGATTTGGCCTCCTCCCAAGGCACATTGGCCACATGCTTTTTATCCATCCAATATGCGATTGATATGCCCGGATAATTCAAATGTAAACTGGGTACACCATGACCTTGCAATAGAACATTTTTGAATTCTGGCTCCATGGATCTGTCAAAGAAGCATCGTTAAGAACTATCAAGTCGCCACTGCATCAGCGCCCTCTCACTTACATTTCCTCATTGCAGATGGTCCTAAGATCAGTCAACAAGTGTTTGACAATCGAGAAAAAGTCGACTGGATTGTATTTGACGTTTAGTTTATCTAACAGAGCTAAACTTCCCAAATTGCGCTTGAATAGCTCAAATTGTCGATTTTGCAGGTTTTCTGTCAGCATCAAATCCACACGGTCGTCCTGGTCATTTTGCATGGTGTCTGATACATAGGTCACTTTCGTTCTCAAGACTCGTCCTTTATCGTCAATGTCAATCTAGACAATTGCGGTTCAGTGACATTTGTTTTGTAGACTGAGCTGTCAACTTACATCAATGACAATGACGGTGCCTCCCAATGTAATGGTAGTGATGGGCACATTAGATTCGAATTTCTGCGAGGAATCTACAAATGTGACCAAGCTAGTAATAAATGAATCAGCATTGACTTGTCATCACTGAATAAGGTCGCCTCTTATTTTACCCCATGGATTGAGCCAATTTCTCCAAGCGCTGTGTCTCGATTTTCGACTTCGATTCCTCCTTGTCTCGCAATGTTTTGTCAAAGAACTCTTTGGTGTTGGAGAGTGTATCTTTCACGCGCATCACGGTGCTCTCTAAGGTTGCTTGTTCCTTCAAATGCGTGAAATGCTTTCTGAATGCTGGATCTGCTCCAACGCCCATCTTCATGACATCGCCCAACACTTCGGTTTCGAATTGCGAACAGACATTGCGAATAACATTTATATGTTGAGAGAACTCTTCGCGAGCTTTATCTAGATTCACAGATCCTAAACCGAAAAGCTCTGGATGGTTTATATTAGATGAAGTCTAGGTTGAGTCTCTCTGACTCGAGTGCTTTACCGCTGGGCTGTTTCTCGTTGGAAGGTTGACCTTGTAGGCAGTGCCATTGCTGCTGAAGTTTTTTGAGTGTGTCTTGCAATCCAAATACAGCAGAACTGATTGAACTTTGTTCAGTCATTTCAATATAAAAAAAATTAGAAGCAAGAAAAAAAAAAGGAAAGGACGCGATTATAGTGGAATGAATTTATAACGATCGCGGAACGCTAATCAAAGGGTAACACTCCATTAAGCAATTACTGCTTTGCACTTGATTTGAGTGGCCTACTGTCAAATGGGAACGCATTCAATATCACTGCAGTTGCTAACGATATCTCAATTGCTTATTCAAGACATAATCTTGTTTCTGTAATAGTACTTTCATATTGAAATTTAGTTCTACAGAGGGCAAATGTTCGTGGTTCATTAGGAAAAAAAAAAAAAAAAAAAAAAGCTCAGCGGCTTTTACTCTTGTTGCACCTGTACTCATGCAATGGGATCCAGTCATTTAGAGTTGTTTGGCTCTATTAAATGCATATATGGTTCAAAGTGTTTTCTTGAAACGAATAAGAATATGGCAGCTTAATTTTGTTTCACGTTACACGCGAGCAAGGGCACAGTCCATCTGTATACATGACCAAATGGCAAGAGTAGTTTTATATGTTATCTTTCTTGATTTCCTTTTTGTTTCTCTCTCTTTCTTCTCATTCTCTTTCTATTTCATTATTCTTAATCTACACATACACACAGAGTAAGCTGGTGCTTACATTGTATTAGTATTTTCTCCTAATGAATAGCATAGATGTCATTATCCGTTGTTACTGCTGCTGCTGCTGCCGAGAATTGGAGTCAAATCAAAGCTTATGTCTGCCAGGCACGAGGAAAGAACTATTGTCTTATTCATAAAAGATACTTTGAGATTAGTTGGTGTCCGGAGTGTGGCAAAAGTAAGTGCTTACGTGGGGTCACCATGAATGACATGTACTAATATAGTTTGCAGTGTCTTAACCTTAGGTATCCATTAGCCTCTGTATTTGCAAGAAAACAGTTGTACTTTCTTTTTTCATACATACCATTGTATTATCAACAACAATATCAGCAGCAGCATTTCACACAATTATTGCACTTTCTTCTTTATCACATGCTGTTTGTAAGCCTTTTCTCGAGTAAAGATGTGAAATAGACATGCTTGTTTATGTAATGCAGTTATACTTGCTCATTCGATCTGGCCCCTTTCTGTTTTTACATGTGACAGATTTACATTTTTATTTAGTGTTTGTGTGTATATATAAAAAAGTTTCTAAGCTTTATTTCTGCGAGCAATTGCCTTTGCTCGATTATCAGCAAACATAAACTTGGCCACCTTTTCGATAGCATAAGCAATACCGAAATCAAGAATCATACAGAGGGTTAGTTTGTAGCGGAAAGTGCCAGGGAATTGAACAAGCTTGAGTTGATCATTGACTTCGGGCCACATTTCAGTGGCACCAGCTAGTGCGACACCGCCCACTGACATCAAACCGTAATACAACGCCTTGTTGTCTTGGATACGCTCACGGAAAGGATAGCCTTGGTAGTTGATGGCAAATGTCGAAACTTGCATGGACAACTGGATGAGGTAGACGGCACTGTTCAACAAACTAGGCTCAAATTCTCCCTCCAAATCAACCTCCTTTGGTCTATTTAAAAAAGAGTGAATATGTCTATTCCATGTTGCGGTTAGCTTTGATAACTTACGGTTCCAGTGATTTGGCAAGTGCGTTAATGTAGACCAAGGACACAATATGGATAGCAAATTGACCCAAGACAGACAAAATGATGTAGGGATTGAAGATGTTGGGCTGAGGACGCTCCTTGGATAGCTTTTGAAGTGGTTTGCCTCTGGAAATACAGAGGAAACACACAGCCATCAGCATACCAGAGATAGTTACTTGCAAGTCGCCAAACTTGATGCCGTCCAAATACAACACAGACAAACTGTAGGCAGAAATCAGACAGTTCAAAGCCAAAATCTTGTACATTTGAATGGTGGCAACCAGCGTACAGCGACCTTGACGAATGATGTTGTTGATAGAAGTGACATTACGAAGCTTGGATGTGAAAGGAGCAGCAACAGAGGCATCACCAAACTTGATAGTGGGGGGCTCTTCCATGTCCATGCCTTCCATCATCTTTTGAGTGGCTTCTTCAATCTTCTTCTTTTGTTCCATTTGACGTCTTTGAGCAGGTGTCAGGTTTTGGTTTTGTTGGTTAGCGAGTTGAGCAGCGAATTCAGGGTAGAGGTGAGCAATAGCAGGAGGTGGTGGTGGAGGAGGTTGGTTGAAACGGGCAGATATGCTCTTTTGTTGTTCATACATGGCCTTCATGCGTTCAATGCGTTGGCGTTCAGCAATTTTTTGAAGATCCTCAGGAGTGCCGTCCAAGAGAGCGACACCGATATGAGCCTGCTTCAAAGCGCCTACATCATTGGTACCATCACCAGCCATTAACGTGGTGTAGCCAAGATCCTTCAAGCCAGTCAAAAGGTATTCCTTTTGAGAAGGAGAAACACGCGCATAGACCCAGGTGTGTTCGAGGATGATGTTCATGTTCTCCTTGTGAAGCATGAATTGCGACATGGCAGAACCGGCCAAACAGAGGTCGTACTTGTCCAAAAGTGCAACATCCAAGGGTTCGGCAGGGTTGACTTCAAGGCGGTACGTTTCATCAATACTGTGGAAGACGACCTTGTTGTCTTTGCGAGCCTCATCTCTGTCAACAATCAAAACTTCACGTTCAACAATAGCGACCTCACGGGCAACAGCACAGGCTGTCAAGGGATTGTCGCCAGTGATCATAATACAGCGATGAGACGATTCGTTCAATTCCTTGAGAGCCTCAATAGCGTCATCCTTGAGAGGACAGGTAAAAACGATGAAGCCAGCAAAAATGAGATCAGATTCAACAGATTCACGAGCGAGATCATTGATTTGATTGTTGGTCAAGGTGCTATCCAGCATCTTGTAGCCAAGAGCCAACACTCTGCTACCCTTACGAGTGAAATGTCTGTAGGCTTCAACGTAGTTTTCAGGAACCTTGGTATACATTTGCTTGAGCGTCTCAGGAGCGCCCTTGACAGCAATAAAGGTCTTGGCGCCCTTGAGAGAGGGATGCGATAGAGTAGAGACAGAAGATTGACGCTTCAATGCAGAGGAGAATTGATAACGACGACGGATTTGCAAGCTATGACCTCCCTTTTCGCCCTTGGGGAAAACGACATCGTGTGGTCCCAATTCCCAATCCAAAGCCTTGAGGGTCTCCTTTTCCATGGGGTCACCCACAATACCATCTTCAAGCTGAACCAAAGCATGGGCACTGGAGAGAACCCACTTGGTTGTGTCAGGCACCTCAGTAGCCTTCAAAAGCTTGGTATCCTCAGTATAAGCAACACCTTCAAACACGAGATCTTCACCAGTCAAGGTACCAGTCTTGTCGAAACAACAGACATCCACACGGCCAGCATAAGGGATACGGAAAGGCTCAGTACAGTAGATGGCATACTTGGAGAGAGCCACCAAACTACTGTTGACAGCCAAACTCAATTCCATGGGCAATTCAGGAGGAACGACCGATGTAATGATCAAAATACAATCCAGCAAGAGCTTTGACTTTTTGCGGTCATTCTTGACACCTTCTTGCCAGACATACCAAGAAGCAGCAATAGCGAAAATAAGCAAAAAGAGGATAAACAGCAAGGCTTCAAAGTTGTTGGCAGAGACACGTTCAGTAGAGAAGATCATCGTGCGCACAAGCTCACCTTGAGAGGTGCCAAAACCAGTGCGAGCAACCACGCAGACACAGCCGTCATCAGGGGGAGCTTCGTTCTTGGGTGTTGTTACCTGCAAGACCTTGGTACCACCGTAAAGCACATTCAATCTGTCTGTCACGTTCATGTCAAATTCCTCATTGGGGTCTCTGAGAGCAATGGACTCCTTCAGCAAGGGAGTAGATTCACCAGAAAGCATAGCTTCATTGACGATACAGGAACCATCGGCAATGACCAAATCACAAGGAACACCCTGATCTTCCTTTGTACGCACAATGGAAACCACATCTCCAGGCAATAAATCATCACTTTGAATTTGTACCCATTTCTTCTCTCGCTTGACATACACAGGGTAGGGCTTTTGGTTCATGCCACGGAACTCCCCGATTGTACGAAGACGTTGATAGACGACAGTGCACTCAAAGACCACCAACATAAACAGTGTGAAAAGCGAGTAGTACCAGTATTCATCCAAACACCAGAGACCGACGCAAAAGATTTGGAACACAAAGAAGGGAGCAACAGCATGCTCTTTGAATAGTTCCATAAACGTAGGCAAAGGGATTTCGAATCTACATCAACTGTCTCAGCCATTCCCATCCTACCACTGCGCGCGCACACACTCTACAACTTACTTATTTAGACCATAGGCATGAGTGAGTGATTCAATCTCTTTCTGAGTAGTCAACCCCTTGGTGCTTTGATAGGAGCCCACAGTGTGGTTGAGATCAGAGGGATAGAGTAGCTTTTGAAATTGTTTCTTGTCGAAATTCCAGATAAACTTCTTTTGTTGAAATACGAACGAGATGATGTCTTCAGAGTTATCAATAGACTATTTACCACTGGTATGAGCTGCTTTTTGTTTCCTTGTAGTACTGCGACATGTTCTCTTTCTTACCTTGGCGTGCTCAAGAGGCACAAGTGTACCTTTGCCTTGGTAACGATAAGGCACGATCTTGAGCATAGCTGCCTTTTTCACATCATTTTCCTAACAATAGCTCTGTCAGTCTCTGATTTAACCAAGAAAGATTCTCCATCAACGTTTACCTTGACACAGGTGAAAAGTGCCTTGACATCCACACTCCATTGACACACCAAAAATGTCATGGCGTGCAGTGTAATAATACTACCAAGTGCAACAAATGTCCATTCTTCTGATCCAAGGTAGGTGTCATAGTGATTGTAATAAACGTAGATGAAAACAGGGTAAAGCATACTGACAAAAGGCCAGACATACATGTGCCAACGTCTAGGCAATGGTCTCAACAAGGCGGCAGATGCCACTCGTTCAGACTCGACAAGAGTTTGCGTCCTGTGGCACTTGTGAGTTGGATTTTGCTTTACAGTATATCTATTGAGGCTTACATTGGATGCTGCAAAAACTATTACAAGAGTATGTAAGAAGAAGAAAAGAAAGAAGCTGCTGGAAGATTTTATCGACCGCGTAATTAGCCATCACCACACACATATCGCAACTCGAATTCATTGTGATGCTGGTGTAGCCAGCAATTTACAAGAATAAGCACCTCATTGGAAGATAAGCGCTTTGTCAGTTTTTTGGAGTTGGGATCCAGATCTGCTTTTGATCTGATGTTGGGCCACTCCAGGCAACTTTTGAGTAAGGCCAACACAAGGCTGATTTATTGCTTTCCATTCAAATGTATATAGTCATTGTGTCATGCTCACTAAGCAAAAGCATTTGCATTTATTTACATAGTACGATTGTCTTTATGCTTCAGGTGATCTTCAACTTTCGCTCTGACTTACCTTATCGGATTACTAGAAGTTCGTATAATTTCCTATTAATGTACACTTTTGACCTTTTATTATGGAGCAAAATCTTCTAAAAAATTATTTGCAATCTTGGATTTGGCTATTACATGGAGCTTTGTATCTGAATCAATAAATACAATCTGTGATTGCGCATACAGCACCGTTTCATTGCCTCTTACTAGTCAAAAATCTGCAAAACATAGCATAATTTGGACACATTTAAACCCTGTTTTCTCGCGCTAGAAGCTGTCTTAGACCAACAGAGTAACACCAAACAGTTTCTCTCATTTAACAGTTACTTCCTGACATTTTTGCTCAACTTTTTTCAGATCATCGAAAATTGACCAAAAACACATGAGGGATACTTCATGATTTTTATCAAAAATCAAACGATCGCGTTTTTGACCTCCAAAATGAAGACTTCTACTATAGTATATATTGAATCGAAATGTTTCTATTGATCCAACGTAGCCTCTGAAATCAATTTTGTAAGACTTTGACATGTAAAATCTGTACATTTTGACCAGAATAGCTATTTCACATTTTTACAGCTTTGCTCAAAAGTTTTTCTCAAAGCATCTGTCTTAATTAGCACCATTGGATGCGCCTTCAGAAGTACTCCAAGAAAGTAAGCAAGTATGGAATAATTATGGCGACTTATATAGTCTATTTTTGTAAAATGGATCGCTCAAATCGATTCAAGACCAAAAATTTGCCATTTCGAGAAAAAAAGAGAGACTGAGTTTCAATTGCTGGCGAAATCACTGCCATGCTTTTTGACGACAATCGACGCTCTAGGGAGCTCATAAAAAGGGAATTGCGAATCATAACGTACTATAGAAGAGCCTGACTACCTTAGACAGCTCCTGTCACAAGTTTGTACATTAGTGAAATGCAGACGTTGCCAGAGTCACTCAAGTGGTACATTAAAATATTGATTTCTTCTCTTTCAATACATACATGCTTCCTTTGATAGACCAAATGTTAGTTGTGGATGCCCTCTATATTGCACAACTGCACCGGGATTGAGTGTGAGAAGGTAGTATCTTGATAGAGAAGCTTGAACGTGCTGTTGTATAGTGTTGTTGAGTGACACAAACCCAATGAAATCGCCACAAATCAGACATTTGGGAAAAAAAACCCATCTTTCATTATAAAGAACGCGCTAGCCTCTGTTATGTATCAACAAATATAAAAGCACATGGAGCTTAAGTAGGCAACCATGGATCATAACGCCGAATTCTGCAAAAGCAGTTCCGAATTGTATACCAGATGCAACGTGCGATTATAATTTAAAGGACTGTCATGGCCATTTACATGTGGGATTGCAGATCAAACGCATCCTGCGTAAGGTTAGCGTATAATTCAACTTTTGCTTTGAAAAACAGCCTCGTTTCTCTGCTCTTTAGCCCGGCAGCATTTGATAACTAAGGCAATATCATTTTTTTGACAGGCACCTGTTATGTGACAAAAATGGAAGAGGCTCGTGATAATTTATAGATATACATATACTTGATTTGAAATGACGATCAGAAGGCAAATGTCTTCACCTTATGTTGGGCAAGGTCCCAAAACGAGGTACAATGTCTTTAAATAGATGATTGCTTTCATTTCATTGAATCAGTGCCACTAAAAAAATGCGATTTTTCATTTATAAAAATAGAGTAGCTGCTGTATGATCCTGGGTATCCTTTAAAGTTTTCTGTACCACACCCCAGATGGCACATCAATGCTTTATTTTTTTTCCTAGCGACAGCGAGATGTTGATTTTTGGGGCGAAAGAGAAGGGTGAGGAGTAGACGGTTTCAAGATGACCATCTCAAGGAATCAAGGGCAGCCAGGGCACACGATCATGTCTCAGAATAATACGTTTTATTCATGACAACCGAATGAAATCGGACATTGGTATAGATCTTTCCATTTTTCCATTTAGTCAAACAGTGCTTATACACGATGCACGTCAGAGAGGGTACCATACCTCAGGACATGGCAATTAGCGCTTTCTTTCATCAGGCAACCAACTGTATGTTTAAATTCGATGTACCACAAGAAAGCAAGGGCTGGCTTCGTAATGGATCAGAAAAGCAAGGAAACCAAAAGAAAAAAAAAAAAAAAAAAAAAAAAAAGATATCTGTATGTCCCACCATTTCACAAGCAATTTGTATAATAGAAAATGTAGAACACTTCTTTACTTTACTTATTGTTGGTATTTCAGCGAACAATAAGCTTTACGCTTTCAAATGACAGAGAGCTTTTGATTCAAGCTGTGTATGGCATTGTCAGACCCTTCCATTTTACCTTTTTGAGGCTCCTATCAACCAGTAAAACGTTTAATCATTTGCAATTTCCCATTAATCAATTCTTTGATCTGGTACTACTGAGAAAAAACTAATTTTAGTTGTACATGTTTAATTTGTTACACTTGAATATTCTCGTTTTGTCTTGTATACATGTCTCGACTGTATCAACATTTGCATGTAGCTGCAGATCAAACAACTAGACAGCAGAATGCATGTCAGATTTGCACCCTTTCACATCACATTTTAATTAGCACTATCATAAGCACAGGCGACCTATAGGAGTGTGCTTGGGAATACCAGGCTGGATGTTGGAAACAAGAATCCCCTTGCATTCATGCTCTTTCTGTTTTGCAGTCGTTTGATTCTCTCTTCTCGTTTTCCACGGCATCGAGGTAATACAATGATAGGTAAACTTGGAAATAGCTGTTAATGACAGCAAATTGCTATGTCTTCATTGGCCCTAATGGCTCTCTTGGTAACCTTATTAAAGTAGCGTTTTTTCTTGAACCTTAAAAAGTTTCAGTGTCCCCTCTCCCCCTCCTCTTCTGGTCCTCCTCCCCCTTTTTTTCCATTTTACTTCTGGTCTTTCCTTTTCGTTTTCTCTTCTTTCTTCTACTTTTTTTTTCTCTGAAACTGCACCTACAAAAAACATAAATCATGACAACGGATACACCGATCCAGATGAAAAAAGTGCCTTCAAATACAATTGACACCTTAAAGAAGAAATCACAACCAAAGACATTCAAGCAACGCGCATTGGAAAATGAGCTAGGTAAAGTATATACAAATCCACGGCTTGCAGACAAGACCTCTAAAACTTTTATAAGAGGGTACCTGTGTTATCACTTTGGCCATCCTCTTGGGCGCCTATATGGGACATCCTTTAGCAAAGAAATGCCTGACGATATCGTACAAAGTGGGTGAAGATCAATTTGATAAGGGCTACGATGATTTCTATTTTGTGGGATTTTGGGTTGTGGCGTTTACCTTCTTGCGTGCTGCCGCTATGAAGTTCATGTTTCATCCTATTGCCAGACTGTTCAGCATCAAGCCCTTTGCAAAGAGAGAGAGATTCGCCGAGCAGGCTTGGACATTCAGCTACTATGCAGTGTTCTGGACAGCTGGTATGGTGAGTGCTTTTTTCGTCTCCAATGTCGATAAATGACACAGCACTAACGTGGCTTCAACCAGGTAATCATGTACAATAGTCCCCACTGGTTCAATACTTCGCAGTACTGGATTGACTATCCCCACATTCTCATTTCCAAGCAAATGAAATGCTATTATTTGATGCAACTCGCTTTTTGGGTCCAACAAGTGTACACTATTCACATTGAGAAGAGAAGAAAGGATCACTTTGCCATGGTGACTCACCACATCATCACTATCCTCTTGATTGTCTCGAGTTACTACACCAACTTTACTCGTATCGGCAACGCTGTTCTCTGTTGCATGGATTTGGCTGATATCTTCCTTGCTGTAAGTAGTGTCTGTTTAAGGATCGAGTATAGCAAGTGGCTAAACCATCTCATCTCCGAATGCTTTCTATTTTAGCTCGCCAAGATTTTAAAATACATTGGATTATCTGTCACTTGCGATATCACATTTGGATTATTTGCGCTCTCATGGCCTATTACTAGACATATTCTGTTTTCGATGATCATCTGGGCTACTGCAGGTATGTTATTTTCGGTGGGATGAGAAAGAGAGTGATCCCGGAAAACTAAGGGGCAAATTTCTAATTTCATATTACAGTTGAACCAACGAGATACCTTGATATGAAGTGGGAGCCTGAGAAAGGAAAGTACTTTACACCCTTTACGCAAAAGATTTACATCTTTTTGTTTGTGTCATTGAATGTGATTATGGTATATTGGTTTGCGATGATTGTCAGAGTTATCATGCGTGTTTTGCAAGGCAACAATGCTGAAGATACCCGTAGTGACGATGAGGATGAGGAAGAGTAAGTGCAACTGCAACTGATTAACTTATCCATCATGCTAAATCATCTTTTTTTTTTTTTTTTTTTTTTTTTTTTTATAGCATCAAAGAAGAAAAACCTGCCATAAAGCAACAACTTCAAAACTAAAAAAAAAAAAAAAAAAATAAGCAGTAGATGGATTCTCTTGCTTCCTTGTATTTATTTATTCCCTCTTGAGTTCAACCCTTTTTTCTTTTATATATTCATGTGTGTTTTGCTGGGGTGTGTCATTCTGCTTTCTCGCCTAATGTACTTTTTATTATCCATCTTTCCAAACTACTCTCTAATTATATTACACCTCCCCTCAAAGAGAATCGACACACTTAAAAACACTTTTCTCTCTTACCACCAAGTAATAAAGATAAAAAAAAAAATCCTTGCATATCACTGATGTTCACTGACGTATTGCTCTAATTTGAAACTTTGAGCCTATCATTTAGTGAATATCTTTTGGATCAATACACGCTAAAACCAAACAAACGGTGGCTGAATGGAATTATTAGTATCAACCAACTAATATTGCCTGTACATGTCGATCTAAATTAGAGTTAGCTTCCACTGCAAAGGAAGCCAAAAACGTTAGTTAAGAAACCGCCATCTACCGGATCAAATGACAGAAGGTCTTTCTATAGTTTTCTCCATAACCGATCAGTTGTTTCAAATATGGTACAGAGAAAATGCAAGCGACAATCCCTCTGCTTTGCTCTAAATAGTTAATAAAGTGAGAATCCCCAATGCATAATGTGTTAGCTCTACGCAGTGCTTAGATGACTGGTACATGTACATCAATGTTGACAATTTAAAACGCTTATTATAACTCCAGCGTACATGCCGTTCATCGCCTTGAGGCTCATGCTGTAGTTTTACGATTGATCATCATCAATATCCATGTGTTTGGATTCGTGGTTTACAATGCAGCTCTCAGTCTAAGACCGTAATTACTTCTTGCCTTCATTAGCGAATTTGTACTACAATTAATGGGTGGGGCGCAGATTGTTATGCCGAGAGCTGCTCTATAGCAATACTTGTTATTTGACGTGCTGTGGACGTGGGCATCAAGTTTCCTTATAGAAACCAGTTGCTATTTTGCAGCCATCATTGGGCGCATCATGAAGTACGGCTTGTTGCAAGATGAGCTGAGAAAATCAGCCCAGAAAATAAGGCTAGTAAGCGAGAACAAAAATTAGCCAAACACTTTCCAAACTCATGTCTGTCTGTTACAAATGAGAGAAGTCTGATCGTTCTGGATAACTTCTTCAAAAACCAACTATTGTATAGAGTAATCGATAGTTTGCTGCATTTTTGCCTTCTAAAGGCCGTGAACGAGATGAATTAATAGCAACATGATTCTCTGCAATGGCTGGGGGGATATTTATAAAGATGGGAGACCGTGTATTTTTTGATTCAGGGGCACTGAGAGTGCAGCATTTCATCAGAACGAAACGCGCCTCATACCATTGCTTCGCAGTGTTGCAGTGAATTGAAAAGAACCCTTTGAAGAGCTTTTTCTAACGCCTTCAGAGCTTTTCTCAGAACATATTGTAGACTTCCCGTTAATGTTCTATCGATTTTATACAAAACATCGTTCAGAAGAGCCTCATTAGATCCGGAGTAGTTTCATGGTCCGTCAAGTATACAAGCAGCTCTATCTCTATCAGGTAAGCATGTCTATATCTTCCATCAAAGCAGGACCCACTATAAAGCGTTGCATGTACAGGCCAGAGGGAAATGTGCTGAGGCGCCTGACATGTCTAATGCACGTGTAGCAGATCTGCTTAAGTAGGGTGAATGAGTTGTAAACACTTCATGCTTTACTGCCAGAGGATGTATATGAAAAAGCTAGGCGACACTGCTTTGATAGATATTGTTACAAGAGATTCCAATTGCACCGCTGCGACCAAACCCTTGCCCATCCAATGCCATAGTATCTACTTCAAACCGACCAAAACCTTCTCTACTTCTGCGCTGAACATTAGATGTTGATTCAAATTTATTGTACAGTTTTTTTTTTGGAAATATATATATATATATATATTGTTGTGAATAGTCTATAAAACACCCTTGGTGGAGGGAACATCGTTAGTACCAGTTCTAGCACAAGCTTCACGGAGAGCGACAGCCAAGGACTTGAAGGCAGCTTCAGCCTTGTGGTGGTCATTCTTGCCCTTCAACACATCGACATGGAGAGTGATTCCAGCGGCACCAGCAAAGGATTCCAATACATGAGGGATCATTTCAGTGGATAATGTGCCAATCATCTCACGCTTCAAGTCAAGGTTCACATCAGCAAAAGGACGACCAGAGATATCTACAACAGATCTAGCAAGAGCCTAGCCTAGTATTAGTATGCAAATGAGCGGCGGGATTTGCTCCAGTCTTACCTCATCCAATGGACAGAATGCAGAGCCAAAGCGCTTGATACCTCTAGGAGTACCGAGAGCCTTCTTAAAGGCCATACCAAGAGCAATACCGGTATCTTCAGCAGAATGGTGGTCATCAATGTGAAGGTCACCCACGCAAGTAACATCTAAGGACCAACCACCATGTTTAGCAAGAGCATGCAACATCTACATAACCTCATTAACAACGGTGACTAATTCTGGCACATCAATCAATACTTACATGATCAAGAAAACCAATGCCAGTATTGATGTTGATCTTTTGATCAAACTTATCGTCGAGGTTGATAGAAACCTTGATGTCGGTTTCATTGGTCTTTCTGTCCAAGCTAGCAGTACGAGGTTCGTCCATTTTTAATTAAGAACGTAGAGATTGAAAGAAAGAGTTGAAGGAGACCTGAGAGGGACTGTCCATCTCTTATACAGCTGCCTTAGGAAAAACTTTCAAGATGAATTCCGCCATTAGTGAGCCATTCAATGTCCCATTACAAAGAATCTATGTCCAATGATAGTGTCTCGTTTTTGCGGCTAGTTTGTTTGGCACGAATGAGGAACTGAACAAATCAATTGAATTGTGTTCTGATTGCATGTTTCATGTGTCAGTTATTGTGGGAGGACCACCAAAGTTCCTAGCGCTGCAATGCATCAGTGTAAATGTGAACGAATGAGCATGCTTATGGGACTATCTGTAATTAACATGGCATAACCAGGGCCGCCCTAAATAACTACTACAATTGTTCATTGTAAAACGCCCGTATGGAAAGCTACCTACAGAAGTGTTACGTTTGAACTTTGAGCATATTGACCAAGAAGATGCAGAAGAGGCTCGATTCACCTGCAACCATGGGGTCCTATTTCTCGCCACATTTTTTTTTTTTTTTGTCCAACACATGTATTTCCAAGGTACATTAATCAACAGGATTCTGGATATGTTCAAACGCAATCCTTCTCTTGCAAAATCTATTGATGATTTTAATTTTCAACTATTTGAGATGCGTAAATATCACAGTAGCGACGATGACAGTAGCGACAGCGGCAGTGATGATGAAGGCCCTTTCGATGAACGAGGTCGCAGATACTCGCGTTCGCAGCATTACAAAAGCATGCTTGTAGATTGGATCTGAAGTGGCCTCAGATCGAGAAGCCCCTGAATCACCTTTGATAGATGTATGTGGCATGTGACACACACGGCGTATGTTGCCTTTGCAAAATTATGATAGTCTCAATGATCGCCAGCAATGGTAGTCCCTGGTAATCCAAGTCGTTTGCATCTTAATAATAGCAGAAAATGGGCTATACTTTATTTGCATGCTATGATACTAGAGTGCTTTTGTGTGGTTCAGCCACTTGTAAACAGAAGCGCGATTTCTTCCCACCCAAGAACCATGATTTATGCAAATGTACACAACTTGATTTTGTTGGAATACTGCCCATGTTAATGCCACCGTATATGACCAGATCATGGCAGCAATATCAAAACAACAAGAAAGCGATCTTTTAAAATAAGGTATTTCCGCTGAATCAATCCATATTACTAAACGCCATTCTTGCAAGTATTTTACAGTGCTTAATTTTTCACACGTAGATTCATGTAGGTGACTTGTCCGCTTGTTTTTCCCCGGAAGAGATATTTGCTGACTATTTGGAAATACCCTCCTTTGAAAGTATATAAGCATTCCATGTTGCATTTTCTTTTTTTGTTTTTCTTTCTCCACACTTTCTTCATATATTCAATTTAACATGTCTGCTACTGATCGTTTAAACACCATCAAGGGTCATTTGTCCGGCAACTACCCTAAGGGTATGTTGGCTGGTGAAGTCGCCATCATTACTGGCTCTGGGTAAGTGTTCTTGCTTCGGCATGCCATACGAGAATTGAGTAGAGGGACTCATGCCTACTCATTAGTCAAGGTATTGGTAAGAGCTGTGCCGAAATCTTTGCCCGCGAAGGTGCTTTGGTTGTTGTCACTGATATTGATGCTGGTAAGTGTTTATCTTGTCAATTGGCTGCATCTGCATGTAACTAATCAATATATTCACCAATAGCCAAGTCTGATCAAGTTGCTGCTGATATCAATGCTGCTGGCCTTAAGGCTATCTCCATTCCCGGTGACATTCTCGACGAAACCTTCCCTGAGCGTTTGATTGAAGGTACCGTCAAGGCTTTCGGTAAGATCAACCACATTGTCAACAATGCTGGTTTCACTTTCGATGGTATGATCCACAAGATCACTGACAAGCAATGGGATTTGATGCTTGCCGTTCATAACACTGCTCCTTTCAAGATCATCCGTGCTGCTGCCAAGTACCTCCGTAAGAAGGATGGTGAGAACAAGAGCATTGTCAACATTTCTTCCACTTCTGGTCTTCACGGTAACGTTGGTCAAGCTAACTATGCTACTGCTAAGGCTGGTGTTGTTGGCTTAACCAAGACCATTGCTAAGGAATGGGGTGTCTTTGGTGTTCGTTGTAACACTGTTGCCTTTGGTTGGGTTGATACTCGTCTCACTCGTGCCAAGGAGTCTGGTGCTTCTATTGAGGTCAACGGTCAAAAGGTTGCCCTTGGTATCCCCACTGGTAACAAGCCTGCTGCTGGTAACCCTTTCGCTGAAATTCCTTTGGGTCGTGCTGGTACTGCTGAGGAAGTTGCTGGTTCAGTTATGTCTCTCTGTACTCCTTTGACTAGCTACATCACTGGCCACACTCTTGAAGTTACCGGTGGACGTGGTATCTAAACCCCATAATTATTGCCTTTTTTTTTTCCTATATTCCTCAACATTTGTACATTAAAATAAAATTATCACAAATATTCTTTTGTAAATCGTATTAGTTGCTTTGTATCACCATGGCATGATTTTCAACCGAAAGATTACCCTTTTAGCAGTTCAGAAATACCAAGTGTAAAAACTGTAGCAAAAAAGACAGCTTGTCAGCAGCAACAGCAGCCAAAAAAAGAAAACACTTCGATCAATTTTTTTGTTTAGGATTGGTGCAATTGTGTTCAATCTCGACTTGTTTGAACTAATTTGCCGAATTTGACTATGTAAAAAGTGAAAATCATCTCATACTCTCTAATTGTTCTTTGTAGTATTTTTCAATGCGCATCCAGCGATCCTAAATTTAATAGGTGTTTTGAACAAAGTTGTTGAACAATATCAAAAGATATGAAATGAGGTTTTCGGCCAAAATGTCGAAATTTTACATTTGAAGGTCGCACAAATAGGAGTTTAGGAGTTGCTTTAGATCAATACAAACATTTTGATTCCATACGTACCATAGTAAAAGTTTTCATTTTGGAGGTCAAAAACGCGATCATTTGATTTTCGATGAAAACCATGAGGTACCCCCCTCATGGATTTTTGGTCAATTTCTGGCCATGTTTTTTAGGTCCCAAAAAAGATGAGCAAAGGTGTCAGAAAGTAAAAGCTAGATGAGAAACAATGTTTGGTGCTATTCTGGCGACCTAAAACGGCTTCTAACGCAAAAAAACGCGGCTCAAACGTATTCAGGTTTCGCTGTGGTTTACAGATTTTTGAGTAGTAAGAGCCAATGCTAGTATGCTGTTTTCCCGTATTTGGATTATCTTTAGCGATACAAACGTGGGGCATCGTAAAGGGTTGACATCTTAACCATTTAGAGCTTTTTGAATGACGCCGTTCGATTAATCCTGGATTTTGGTAGGCTTTGGTGTTCTCAGTAGTTGAGGCTACATTTGAGGTGCTTGACGCTGGCAATAAATCTCTTACAAGTAGATACTCTATAACACTCAACTCCTACACACCAACATAGTTTATCTGGGTGTATGTATCGAGAATTTCTTCCCAAACGTTGTATCATTTAAATGCATTATTCAACAGCATTTTCAAATATGTCACGAGAGCAATCTTGATCTATCGAGTGAATAGTTTGCTAATGATTTGTGCAAGACCAGTGGAAAACGGACACTAAAATCCGACATTTGCCCTGCATGTTGCTAAACAACTAGTGCTACCAGCGAGATCGAATACCAGGATAACGCTATATTTGAATTTAAAGCGTTGTCAGAAGAGGGTATATTCAACCCAAAAGTGCTACCTTTTTGCATTCCGTTCCGAAATGCTCTGCTGATCATAGATCAACCTGACAATAAGCTTCATGACATGTAAGCAGACAAACAATCAAGATCTCTCAGTCAATGCTACCCTGTTATAAGTCTCATTCTTCTATCCAGCTCACAAATCTTTTCAACTATGAAATCCGGGATATATGATTATGAAAGGTGTGAATGTATTAGCATATAAGAGCATAATGGTAATATCTCTAAAATACAAAATGAAGTAGTCTATAAGTGGAAAAACAGGAACAAAAGTCTATGGATACAGATGGAAAATAAAACAGAAAAAGTAAGAGAACCGAAAATCTACTGATGCTTGTTGGCCAATTCAGTGTGTTCCTCAATATCGACAGCATCCCAGGGATAAACCAACCACTGATCAGGCATCTCAACAGCAGCAAAGTAGTTCTTCTTGATCTCCTCGGGCAAATCACGCTTCTTGGCCTTGAGCTTGTTGTGAAGGACAAAAATACCCAAAACAGTGTTGGATTCTCCAGGCTTCATACCCTTACGAATTTCCTCGGCCTCAATATCCTTTTGAAGCTCTTCGACAGCGAAGGCTAATGTGGTGCGAGTATCATCTACCTCATCAACAATGAGAATACGGCGGCCCAAAAGAGAGATTTCCGAGTGAGAGGCACCAAAGTTGAGCCATTGAGTCTTTTGAACTTGGGTACCAGGCTTCTCTTCGCCGTTAGCATTAGCAAGCTCTTCGTACAAGGAAAGACCAATGGCTTGGATAGGGATGTTACCACGGCTGGTCTTTTTGAGGAAAGTACGGAGCATACGAGCAGGGATGAAGCCACCACCGCCAATAGCAATCATGAGATCAGGCTTGAAATCGTCGTTGATGTTGAAACGATCGACGGATTGACGGATAGAGTCATGGATCTGATTATAACTGCCAAATGTTATGTATTTTTAGATTTTTCGGTGTGACAGATGCAGTGCAAAGCAAATACCTGATATGCAACTTGTTGGACATGATGAATGTGTCTAGTTTTTACTTTTTTAAACAACAAAAAAAAGTGATTTTATAAATGAAATATGTACAAGCAAACCATTCTTCTTGATGAATGATAGTTTTTGACAGTTAAATACAGAAAAAAAAAATCAAAAAGGTCACAATGATAGAGATCCATAGTGGCTTGTTGTGTTAAAGCAGGTTCAGTTACGGATACATGTTTAACTACTTTTTTCCGTTCTACTCATTTTAAAATGCCTCTCATTATCATTTCCGGATACCCTTCTAGTGGAAAGACACAACGAGTTAACGAAATCAAAGAGTATTTAGCCAAGAGGCTCGAGCAAGAGAACAGATCTCTGCGCATCCAGGTGATCAACGACGAAAGCCTTCATGTCACCAAAGACGCTTACAATGGTTAGTTTTGACAATTATCTCGGGGCAGAAAGCATGTATTGAACAGTGCTGTACCTTTTGTAGATGCTCGCGAGGAAAAGAAAGCAAGAGGCGCATTGCTATCAGCAGTAGAGAGAACACTATCCAAGGACGACATTGTCATTGCCGACGCATTAAACTACATCAAAGGGTTTCGATATCAACTCTATTGTATTGCAAGAGCAATTGGCACACCTCATTGTGTGGTTCAAACAGGTGTTCCTGTAGATATCGCAAAAGAATGGAATCAGAATAGAGAATCAGAAGGTTATGATGAGAAAGTGTAAGGACGCTTTTGTATGTTGGAATGTAGCGTCTGTGCTAATACAAAGGCTGCCAGGTTTGACGAGTTGGTATCACGATACGAGGAACCAGAGGAGCGCAATCGATGGGATTCACCACTATTTACATTAATTCATGATGATAAAGGGATTCCTGGAGACAAGATTTGGGATGCAGTGATATTACGAAAGGCATTGCCACCCAACAAATCCACCGTCTCAAAGCCAGTATCATCAACCAACTACGTGTATGAGCTAGACAAAGCTACATTAGAGATTATCAATGCCTTTGTTGAGCGTCAAAAGGAATTTGGACCAGGAGGAACCCCAATGATTGTACCTCGTTCAGAAACAAAAGTCATCAATCCATCTCGTACTGTTACATTATCAGAACTAAGAAGACATAGAAAACAATTTGTTACATACAACAAGATGAACACTACTTTGGATGTTGACCGTTTGGGTGATGTTTTCGTCAATTATCTCAATTCAAATCTGGAATAAAGCTCTGAAAGCTGAATCGATGTATGGTTATGCCAGTAAAGTTGTTGCAATGCGTGTAATGGAATAATATTTGAGGTTTGGTAGTAGGTTATGCTAATCAATGGAAAATGACAAAATTTATCAGATCATCGATGATTTTGCACGAAACCCTTTTTTGGTAGTATCTCGACTACTCATACAATCCGCACAAGACAAAGACCATTCGATAGCTCTACTACGTTATATCCATCATTATGTGAGAGTTTTAGGTACCAGATGTATCTTCCCTTTATGAATTCGCTCAAAATCTCATATTTTTATCAGCTATAAGTAGAGGATTTTCAAAACTTTTAATGTTTCTCTATAAAACTATACCATCGTATAGAGAATTGAAAAAGAAACAGAAGCTATTAAGCTTGAAGCTCTCGTTCACTTAGTAATATCCAGCGGTACAGCTCCTTGAAAATTGTCCATTTTCTTTATTTTTCCTCAGTACTCATCCACATTACCACCAATAACCCCACATGAAACATGCCCTGTCAGACAAAGTGCCCTCTACAACTTTTATCTATATATTTTTAAGAGGGGGAATATACATTAAATTGGAAGACTTATTATAATCGAACAAAGCAATAAGCTACAACTGTCTAGTCTTAATAGCAAGATTCTCCAATATGTCAAGTATCTATTGATAACTTGTTGAAACCAGCAAGTTAATATGGCTCTTTTCGTACGCTCCGATTTTTAATATGCTTGGTCAAATGCATAAAGCTGGTTACAAATGTACAGTTACTCTTCTTTTTTTTACTCAATTCCAGGATGTGGAATACATCCACTCTGATCTGCATTCCGACAGTTCATCCAGTTTCCTGATTTAGGTATAAACTATATGCGCACTGGATTAAGATGTACGATACCGATTTATGCTATAAGAAGATATGGACTTCAGATACGCTAGTACTATAAGATTCATACTATATAAGATATAGGCTATAGATGGCACCACGGACATGGATGGCACTATAGACTTATACTTGTATTCCGACATTGACTACGGATGTTTACCATATCTGGATAGGCACCAAGATTAATGCAATATGAGCTTGTTGCTTCAGATGTGCACTTCATGATCCACGCTGTAAGACACATGCTTATATCCGTGATACTAGCTACAGATACTTTATGTACTACAGACTTGTACTATATATGAGACATGCTATAGACATGCATACGATATGCTATAGACATGCCATATATCCGGATACATGCTAAAGATGTATGCTTAGCGATATACACTCAGATATGTACTATTGATATAGACTAAGGAGACTGTACCTATTGGATACATGCTACTAGATCGATATTAATTATCCTTATAGAAAGGATAGATCAGGGTACTTTGGATGAGAGTCTAATTATTCATCCAGGCAAAGCTAAATCATGATTAGCTTGCTGGAGTTGTCTTTTAGCATGATTAAACATTAGTTGATTTGAGTTGACTTATTTGTCAATCTAATTAATAGAACTTTTATCTATTGTTATAGTATATAATAAGAAGGATCATCTACCTGGCCAGTAGTGGAGATACTTCAGTTGTTTACTTTACACCTGTCAGTTTGATAATAAAACATACCTTTATCAAGTTGACTTTACAGTTTTTTTTATTCTTTTTTTTCCGTGAATTTTAGTCTATAAAGCCTCAAATTCCACACAGGATCTTCAGTTCATTTTATACACATAAAATACAGTTGATTTCTATTGTATTTTTATTATTGCTATATTTTTTTTGTGAAATCTTTAAACCTGATTTCATTGCACTGTTAAATAAAGAAGGCTTTAAATTGCATGTATTTTGCTACCTTTTTATTACAAATATAAACTCATTATAGATGACAGCTCAATAGGAGATCAACTAGCTAGAATACTTCGGTTCCTGAACCTCTGAGCCAATCAGATTGCTTGAAAACTCCGCTGACCTAAAAAAAATTTGCGAGGGTTTCCCCCTGTTTTGAGGTGAGGCAAAATTTTAAGCGCCGCTATAATAACAATATAGCCGCTGCTATCATCAAACTTCCCCCAGGCGCTAGAGCATGCCTTACTTACATCACCTAACTTTAAATTCTGGCATTGAGACCCTCAATCATCACTAAAGTAAGTAGTGATAACCAAGTGAAGGCAGCCTATCTACCTCCTAGCCTCGGATAGAGTCTTGTTGAGCTTCAGGGATAGGCACATCCACACAACGTAAAAAAAAAGGTATGCTTCAAAGAAACATAATAATAATAAAAGAAAGAAGAAAAGAACATACTATTATAGGAGTATAGTAGTATGTAGGCAAAAATGGATACTCACACAAAGTGAGTACTCAAAAGAAAAGTATAACAAGTACAACATCAGAGACGTTCAAAACAGCTCGTTGTTGTTGCAACAAAGATGCATACATGAGCAACATGCATGGTAATAGTCGGATGTAAAGCAACACAACCAACAAAAAGAAGAAGAAAAATGCAACAAAGCAAACATCATGAATGCATTATCATGAGAAAAGAAGCAATAATACAAACGTTCAAAGAAGTTTTATATCATTGCGACCAGAAGAAAAAAGATACTTACCACTTACCACTACCATAGATGGACCAGATAATACGCAATCACCGGATATAGACCAGAGAATGAGCATACACCGAAGACAGTAGACCAGGAAAGACCATAATAGCAACAGTAGTAGCAACACCAGCACCATAGACAAACCAAAAAACGAGTGATGACACCAGAGAAAGAGCATGCAACAAACACAGTAGACCAGAAAAGACCATATTAGCAGTAGCAGTAGCAGCAACACCAGCACCATAGACAAACCAAAGTACGAACGCCACCAGCAGAGACCAGATAAAGACCAAAGAAACAGGCAGCAGAGATGGCAGAGAAGTAACGGCAGCAGCACTCACTCAAACAAGCAAAAAATTATTAAAACCAAATAAACAAACACACTTAGTGTTAATTCTACGCCTTCCAGTGCTCGTTATCGAATGATACCTAATATATTCCACTTCAAAGAAACAATATCAAGTTCTTCCAACAGTACAAGACAGAGTTATCGGATGCTAGAGTGTTATTATTAATCAAACGGTGTCCAAAACCACCATGGTTTGATACTAAAACGCGTTTTGCAAAAAGGGAGGGCATGGAAAAATGAGAGGGCGCCCTATCCGACGTCACGACTAGTAAATTTAGTCTCAGTTTTGTACCGTAGTAGCCGTAATTGCGGCAACTTAATTTGAAACTGTGCAGTGGTATTTTCGTGTTCAAGATTGACTTGATCTCACATCATTTAAACGTTTTTGCTAAATTTGACTATGAAATCTATCGTTATCACACCCAACTTTCTAGCACATCTCTAGAGAACTAAAAAAAGTCACATCGAATGGTGCTAATTACTTTTAGCTTTCAGGCCAAAAATAATGAGCAATTTGCAGAAATATAAAAACAGGTTTTCTGTAACTATGTTAAAATTTAGCATATGAAAGTCTCATAGAAAGAGCTTCCAGTGTTGCGTTTCATTTTTACAATCAATTTGATCTAATATGTATCATAGAAAAAGTCTTCACTTTTGACGTGAAAAACGCGATCATTTGATTTTCAAGAATCTTTCCTTGCATATGTTTAGGATATAATAGATCATCTCTGAGAGGCAAATGTATTAGGCGTTGTATATTACATAAGAGGATCTGAGAATGAGCTGAGATGCATAGTAGAAGTGAGAGGTCTTTATTCAAGCAGCACGAAGGAACATGAGTAGTGCCATCTGTAATGAAATAGCCACCCAAACGCAACTTAATTGAAAACCAAAGTTCATCAAATAGCACTCATTCAAATTCATGCTATTTGAATCTATTAATGAAAGCGCTCAAATGTACATCAAAAAACCATTTAAAATTACTAAAGTAAAGATGCATGCTTATATCGCACATCGTGTGAATGAATCACTCCTGATCACAGTGTATTCAATCACACCCATGATGGTCGTAATAAGAGATGGTATCTTTATCCAAATAAAATCAAATCAATAACAAGCATATTCAAATATGACAACTATGCCCTGCTGCCATAGTTGCACAATATCCCAGATAAAGGATTCCATGCTTCAATAACAAACATCACACTTTAAACCATCAAGGTTACATTAAATCATGCTATGACGATAGCTCACCCAAGCCCATCAAGGTTACTCAAATCGACCCTTATGGCCAGTGCTCTTGCATTGATTACCACTTTAAATCAAACATCAACAACATTTGCCAGATATCGCAATAGCAGCACCTATTGCTCTCTATCATCACTAATCCTACAAGCTAGATGCAAATGTATAAATACTCTTCTTTTTTTTACTCAATTCCAGGATCTTCAGTTCATTTTATACACAAAATAAAATACAGTTGATTTCTATTGTATTTTACTATTGCTTTATTTTTTTTTGTGAAATCTATTTAAACCTGATTTCACTGCACCATCAAATGGCTAATCTGTATCCTGGTGGTTCCTGGAAAGTGGTAGCCTATGGCCTTTCGTCCCTGGAAGTGGATTTCAATTCCGACAAATGTTCTTCCGTCAAAGCTATTAGGAAGAACATTCTATCCTGGATCGTCTTTGTTGTTTATCCTTGGCTGGTGGCTCATGAGTTCTTATGCAGCACATTCTCGTTAACTGGTTCAAGGCTTATACAATTATCCCGCATTCAAGATCAAGGTCCTATTGCTGCGGCACTGTCAAATAACTATAAATACCTTTGGTATCTACACTAGTTTTGATCCCCATTCAATCTTGGAATACAATAATAAATATATTCAATTCTAATTGTATTTACTCTGTCTATATTTCGTTATTCTAAACAGTCATTTCTATACGTCCCTTTTCATCAAGTGTCTGTAGAAATCCTCTTTATTACTATATTTGTATCTTTTTAAGCTTGGAAACAGCACCTACTCAATCAAAGTACCCTCTAAAACTTTCACTACACATAC